AGGTTGGATAGTTTAATCAAATTATTCTGAGATATTAAGAAAAATCAGGATCGCCAGATTGATATTGCTTGGATAGGGGTATTGATTGTTGGCTTGTTACACCAGTGTGTTAATGTATTGAAGTTTTTGATTAATGCCTGGTTTATAATTCCGATATTTATAACAAGAATATTTTTTAGTTGCTACAATTATGGTCTCTGCTCTTGTATGAGTGCAAGGAAACACATTATTTGAGTGTAAGAAAATGCAATGTATGAGTGCATGGAAACTCTATATCCATATTTGGATATTTTATGTTTCAAATTCGCACACTGTCCTGATCTATACATTACCTATCAACATTGAGCCCAGTACTGGAAAATGCTCAATTAAGGAACAAGAAAAGTTTGATAAACAAGCAAAAATATGTACATATAGATAGAGAGAGAGAGAGGTCATGGCCTGGCTTGTATCTGTTAAAATTCCTTCTAAATGCAAAACTGAAAGATACGAAGAGCAACACAATGTTTAGAGTATATTTTAAGAGTAAGGCATGACAAATTAACAAAAACGAAATAGAAATCAATGAATTGGCTGATGCCCTCATTTTCCAGATCCAATCTCTTTTTCAAGCATGTCCAATATGCCAAGAACCAAGTAAAAATCTGTGTAGGATTTCATTTAAGATCCAATTCCTTTCCCAACTAGATTACTATTATGAGATCATTGCTTGGGGATTATGGTCAAATATTGTCTCCGACATTTATCGACCCAGTCCACCCAATCCCAGTCTTTTGATATACTTGACGGGAGTCTGAAAAAGTTGAGAAATTCTGAGAAATACTATACATAACCATGCATTATACTACCAATATTATTATGCATTTCCCATTGTAAAGATGAAATAAATGTAAAAAGTACGAAGTTCCTTACATATTGAAATTGTTAGCATTGCCAAGAAGGGATTATTCTAATAATTTCAATCAATCGAAAACAAGACATATATTGTCTTAAACGTGATTGTCAAAAAACCAATTGGAATCTAGCCAATCACAATAATGGCTTCTGTTAGGCGTCTGACAAGGAATTTGCGTTTCATATAATGAAAACGGCTAAGATTTTCGGTAAATGAATTAGGAAAGTCTATGTATAAGGCCCTGTCAGTCAATCTCTGGATTGCTTTGTCGAGAATGGAATAATTGACGAACTGAGCTATAATTGTTGGAACCTTAGTCCACATGGTGACCCTTCTGAAATGTAGATGCTGAAATGGTCACTTACAGCATTTTTTCCTCTGGGGTCATTTTAAGAGACTGGAAGGGGAGGGGTGATAGAAAGGGGCATTTGTCTTCTGGGGTCATTGGCTGATAAAGAGGGGCATTGCCCTGGTTCAAGTATAACAATTAAAAACTGAAATTGATATGAAGTACACTGTATTCCAGGACTCCGTTCTAATCTACCCTGGGGTTCAGAGACAAATAGTGATAACTACCCTCTCAAGAAGAAAAATGTAGTTTTGATTATGGCGATTAGAGTTTGAATGTGAAATAGATGCCAGCTGCTCATGTAGTCATAAAATTCAGACCACAACTCTTGATTGGTTAGCTGGATTTTTAATTGACCCATTCTGATTGGTTAGCAGGACTAGACCAAAGGATTGTCCCTTTTTGTAAGAGGGTAGATGAAACTCTCTTTTAATAAAGTGAAATCAAACTATTTAAAAGGGTAGTTCTCATCTGGTTCACTTCCTCCAGAATTGCATTGATGTTTTTAGTAAGGCAGGAAATCTTGAAATTACTCAAAATAGTCCTAAGTTTTATGTTATCCTTGATGAAATGTACTCTTGTCGGAATCCTGCGGTTTTTACGTTTGATTAAAATACCTGGAATACTTCTATGAGTTAGCGTATCTACCTTAAATTCAGAGATCCACTATCAGATGGGGTTACGTTCCCAGGTGTAGCTCGTTCTCCCGTATGGATCAGTAAGATAATACGATAATTGGATCTCAGGGAGACCTGTTCAAAATGATAACTGATCGACCATTTTGATAAGCAATTTGATGTATAGTGGAATATGTTTTATTTTATGCCCTCCCTGGACTAGATGCCATATCTGCCATGTTTTGAAATTTAAGAGAGATTGAATTAAGTAAACAGTAATGTATGCTCTCTGTTGGAACCTCAGAAAATGAGGTCTTTGTATTTTAGTTAAACAAGGAAAAATGTGAAATTAACATGATCAGGTATGAGTTGTCCACAACTGTTCAAAATCAGTAGCTTTATTTGAAATGTTTTAGCAGTCATTAGCAGTGAATTATATGGTAATTCTTCTTAATTCACTTTGGGGGGAAATCAGCTCTAGACATAAGATCACAATATAACCTGTGTCAGGAAAACACTGTCGTTGAATTTAATTTAATTCTCCAATGGCTTTCATCATTATATAGACTTAGATGAAATTCACGAACAAATGGTAGTGATTTTCTAATGAATATATTGGGCATTAACCTCGTGAAAATGTGGTTAACAGAAAAATGATGCAATTAAAATAGCGAAACCATCTGATTTAAACATGAGGAACTTCTTGAAGTTGAAATCTGTAATCCTTTTCAGACTTTTTGATGGGGATGTAATCCTGGCTTTCCCTTTGTCTGTTGTGTCTGTGAACAAGGCTCTACATTTATTATCGCTCATTTTTTTGCTGTAATGTGTTTTTGTGAAATTAGCTAATTATTCAACGAAAGCAGATCTCTTTACATTAAGGGCTATCTTGAAGATCATTAATTCTCAAGTAATTAGTGGACATCGCAAATATAGAAAAACATTCTGTTAATTAAACGTCTTAATAACATGAAAAATGATTCGCAATATTCTGATTGACATTTTCTAACCTTCCAATAGATAAACCATTCCTCAAAGATCCCCTAAATGTCAGAGAAGCCAGTTTGCGCTCATTTTCATATATACCAATATGTACACAAAGTGTGACGTAATGACATAAATAAAGTTGTAGAACCTATTTACTTATGGCCATATCTGACTATTGTCTAGAGACTAAACCTGATAGATTACAAAAAGAATTTGATAATTTGCAAAAGGAACATGGATATGTTTCGAGACCAAGTGACCGATTGCAAAATCTGCGATCAATCATTTTACATTAAAGATCTACCCATCAGTGAAATTTGTAAGTCATTGTAATTTACAGATGTTATGTACGAATCAAAACATAAAATTCTTAAATGCAATTGCTTACAATGAAATAATAAATACACGCAAGGATAATACGTCATTAACGCTGTATTTTGATAAAATTCAAAAATATGTCTCCAAATCATAGGTTTTAAGGGTAGCAATAAATCGTTAAATTTCCTGCTTTTAATGTACTCATGAAAAAGAAACATTCACCAGAATTCTTCGCTTATACTCCGCCATAAGCAACATGGGAATTAATGAAAATGCCATATGATTAGTTCGTATGATACGAAAGATGTAATGCGTTTCATTAAATACCCCAACGTTGTATTTTGTTTCTTGTTGAGGGAATGCTAAGAACATTCTTTGCTTATTCGATTAAACAGTCACTTCGACTTCTTGGTTGATGTTTATATTAAAAACATACCCGGATTCCCAGAAGCTATAACTAATTTTTATACTCTGCCTTTTATGAATCATTTACAGTATATAAAGTTGTCGTTAATATACAAACTCAACTTTTTTTGAATAGGGTAAAAATTGCCTGTGTATGGGATGATACTACCATGATAATAAATGATAATGACGCGATGCTTTATTGAAAAATAAAAGGTCACCCTGACTTATCCTTGGTAATGATAACAAAAACTCATTTTTAATGGAGTCCATTGTCTAAAAGCCTCCTATTAATTAAAAAAATGTGTTAACAACTAATAAAAGGTATGTTTATCTATAAATCAATACCCCCCATATGTAACACGTCTCATATTACAGCTTTTTTAAAATTCGAATCACGCTTGTAGTACATGTATGTTCATAATATTCCAATGATTTTAACGCAATATGTCTATAAATCGGCACTTTGGAAGCTGTAAATGAATTTAAATAGATTATTGAAATGTAGAAATTTCTTTGATTGTATCATTCCTTTTCTTTTTTGTCACATTGCATTCAAAGAAATCAAAGAAAATTCCCTTGAATAAACTGACTTTGATGTCATGTATTTCTGATGTCAGTTATTCTTTGATGTCAGGTATTTTTACTTTTTATGCAAAAGAGAGGAATGCATTAGAGAATATTGACACCAATTTGACAAATGATTATATACAGTATATGTATTTGCATATATTTCTGCATATACCAGAACTTATTCATTTTTGACAGAGTTGAGAAATAAAAGACTGCATTGAAATTTTTTGGAAGGGTGTCCCACCTGTATATCTCCCATATTAAATTATGATATGATACACCTTTAATTACCATATAGCTGATGTTTCTCAGGTGTAAAATTTGATATTCTGGTAAGAGTATTAAAAACCCTTAAGGCTCGAATCAGTTAGACGATTCATTAATTAATACATTAACAAATTAGGTCGAACTATATCTATTAGATGAACTCTATTTCTTTGAATATAAAGAGTCACGATGCTGAACACCTTCGAGCCATTTTTTTGATTTTTTTCTTTTTGATTATTATATTGACACAACTCATGTCGATGTTGCCAGTCTCATCAGAGTTCACGGCTGAGCTTGAAAACATGATCGCTACTATTCACCATATTATGGGCATTTGGTACATTGGCCAATAGGCAACTGTTTTTCTAAGTTCATTGCCAACAGTGAAAACTGGTTGCCATTTGCAGTCAGGCAGCTTGGAGTTGTGAATCCTGAACCTCCTCTTTTGTATTATTTTGCATTTGTGTATGATTAAATGAATTGGACATGTTATCAGTATTTGGAATCATTATTAAAAGACATCTTTTATGCCAACTTAATACAGGTTACTTATAATGTTTTAATATATGGTATATTTTTTTACTTCCAGGATTCGCCTTTGTGACGTTTGAAACAGAAGACATAGTAGAAAAGGTTACAGAAATACACTTTCACGAAATAAACACAAAAATGGTACGTATTGTTATCGTTCAGTTGTCCTTCCAGCGTTAAAAACAAGTGGGTGCTGTACCCATTTGAGATTTTGAATTCTTGCACCTATTTTAAATAAGAAATCCAGGAAAAATTGACATTATTATGTTTGGTCAGAATTATGAAAATACAAGTTTAGCATCCACTTGATAAAAACGCTGGGATAGAACACAAATAAGGGATGTTTATGGAAGATAATCGTTTATGGCAACATTGTAAAATACAAAGTAAAATCAAATCTCTTAAACCGCAAAAGTGATAAAAAGCATCATGCATCTTTCTGTCAACAGCACTTATTACATATAGTTTGTAATAGAGTCAAAAAAGTTCGCTGTAATATAGTTTCATATGGAGATTTGCATAATTGATAAACTATCAATGAAGAAGAAATGCTTAAAAGGAAAATAACCAATTTAGAGCGCAAATGAATTGAATATTTGTCTGAGAATCCTTTCCAAGGAGCTTTATTTTCTAAGTAGACATCGCTGACAGACTGAATAGTTACTTGTCATTGGATAGTGGATTACAAGATATAAACCTCTTTTTCAAAGTTCCTAGATCTGTCACATGACCCACTCATATATTTACAAGTACTCGCTAAGTCCGTCTGCTCGTTTTCCATTAGATTTAATTTCATGGAATTTCACTTGATTTTGAAGATCGGATTTCAACGAAAATCGTAGTTTGTGGGTATATCTTGAAATTGTATTAGTTCGATAATAGAGAATATAATCTAGGAGGTATAAATAAGTAATTTGAGGGATAGGGTTTTAATGCGAAAGAGGCGTAAATTATGGCACCTTTTACAGCAAGTTTATATATCTTATCAATCATTCTGGTTTGAAACGCTGTACAATTTCAAAGAAATTCTATTAATTTTGTCCTTGTTGTAATATGCATAAATACAATAATTCCATATTCAGAATTCTTCCAATAAATTCCCTTATTTTTCTATTTTTCAATGAATATTATATTACATCATATCTAAAGATTGATGCATCCCTATGACAAAGCATCACACATGATATATAAGCTTGGAAAAACAGATTCGATGGTTAGATTCTTCTTATATTGATATATCCTGACTTTTGCTCGAAATGTTTTTGAAAGGGTAAGAACATTAATGCAAAGATGGAGTATATTTGATATACCTTGAGATGAATTGAAATAAACCTTCAGAAAAGCTTTAACATCAGCTGTATTTCTCTCATTTATTTGTAAATCATTCATTCCTGCAACATCTCAATTGGCAATACCCTCAGGCAAAATATAATGAAATTTTTAATAGTCTTTCATTCTTTAAAATTTATAAGGAGTTCGATAAAATCTGTTTGTACCCTTTAGCAACTGTTTCTTCATCGCATTGCGTCAACAATCTGTATCACATTGGAATAATATCTATAGGTCTCATGCCATCCAAAAGTTCTCAAAATGTCCTGTTTATCTTTGAGTGAAATGACGTGTTTTTTCATTTCTGTAAAATTTAAGTTGTTGGTATCACTCCAGTTTATTCATTTCTCCTATACCCATATTGACAAATCTGTTTATTTCATTTCAAAGCACGATCGCTAAAATGTTTTATTTCCGAGCATTCATGCTGCAGAAATTATATCATTTGGGGGCAAAAATTGTATCATTTAGGGAATAACTGATTTATTAAATGCCAATAGGTTTTGAAGTTGATATGAAATAACTTTTTGACATTTTACATTTAAATGCCATGCATTTTGCAAGCTTATGCAGGTTCATAATATGTCTCTTGCTTTCTCACTAACTACCAAGTGTGTGGTATTAAAACTTGTGTCTGAGAAAATATTCCTGATTGCTTCTTCGTAATATTTTTTCAGCTGATCATCTATTCAGTGTACGCAAACCTCAAACTTTCTGTGATTGGGTGTAATTCCCATAATTTCCAAGTATTCAAATAAAATATAGGATTTTATTATTACATTTTCGAATAATTTGAAGCGTGGACTTCATCCCTATCCACATAAGAAAACGTTTGTATTTTCCTTTGTGTTTTGTGTTTTAAGCCACTGCCAGAATGATATTTTACTATGGGTACACGTTGAGAAACATTTGAATCTTCACATATATGGAACTTTAATTATTAATTCAATGCAAATCTAATAGGGTGCAGCACTGTTCAGCTATCAATATTGGAATCTGTTTGAAGACATCTACTATAATTCATAATATAATATCATTCCTTTTCGTATACATAAAACTGTTTTGTTCTTTATACAAAATAGGGTTATTCAGTATATTCATCGCAGTGTCCCTGCCTTTTCAAAAAATGGGGGGGGGGTTGGGTCAAAGTGGCTCGTTGCAAGACTTTTTAAATGCAATATAAATAAATGAAGCAGAGTTGAACTAATGCATAAGCCCACATAGATAACATTTTAATGCAATTGCCAAATGGTACTTCAATAATTGACAAGATGCCTGTTCATCTAAATGTAGAAACTTTATATAAATTGTGAGATAAGAACCAAGCAACTATCTGCATCTCAGAGTTTGTTTTACATAATATAACATACTTCAGTCAGCATTACATTCCTTCATGAACATGATATGGGCATCTCATGATTCGGGAAAACTATTTGGGGCATCTCATGAGCAATTTGGTTTTCAGAGAATTTAGATGTTCCTATTTATTTATGATTTGTGTAGAGTTAAATTAGAATGATTTCTAATGATCTTACTACTGTTTACAGAAATGATATGAAATAAAAAACCAGATTGTTCAGAATTATAAGATTTCAGGCTGTTCTCTGGTTAAAGCAATATACAATACATACATTATCCTGGCAAATCTGCTCATCTGAAAGTCAATTCCAAAAATCAATCAAGTTTGACCAGAGGCAAATGGGTTTTGCTTGCGGTAATATTATTTATAGAATTTACATCTAAAATGCAAAACTATCATCAAATTAATAAGATTTCTATCACTGAGAGTTGTTTGAAGTAAAATCAAATTCTGGGTTATTTATTGCTCCGAGTGGACTAATAAACAATGTGAAAAATATCAGTAGAACGACAATGAAAGTGAGGCTGATAGCGCTGGCAGTAATCAGTTTGAGATGAATGACGGCCATCTTGGGATGTGTCCACTTTTGGGGGTGATAAAATACTAAATACTTTCAGTTCATATCTACGGATATGTTATATATGCCCGTAACATCACGTAACATCATTGGCTGATTAAGATTAGGAATTAGAGTGATAATTTATAACTTTTAGATAATCAAATACAGGGGCCCACACACATGTTCAGTCTATCTGGAGTTATCATAAAAATTTTGATTTATCACGTATATTAAAGTCTAGGGTAACATTTCTTCTCAGTCATTCTGTCAATGATTTTTCATCACACCACGTAATTTTCACAACTCTCACAAGGTTTGGTCAAAACTTTCTTGATTTCCTATTTTCATGTGGGTGAAAACAGGTTTCAAGTTGGTTAAATCTATGATCAAAAAGTAGGTACAACGCTCAGTATGGAAACCCAATGAATATCACCATGACAACTCAAGGGCATCCATTCTTTAAAAACCGCCCAACATTATACATTTGATTCAAATACAAGTAAGTTTCTATGTTGGGTTTTCCAAGAGGTCAGTTTGACATGTTATTCCTGGTAATCTTTATGTGTTATGTAATGTACTATAATGTCTGTAAAATGTCCCACCTCTCAACGAATAACAACACACGTATGCAATTTCTACAAATCTTTCTTCTGGTGAGATACGGTGGGCCATTGGCTTATATTACCCATGTAGAAAATATAATGCATTATTCCAAATTATCGCACATAATCATACGTTAGAATTTTCGGCATTTTTATAAGTTTTTTTTTTGTCAGACCTGGAATTTGTTTATACATGTACTTTAAATTCGCTTTGAATTTCTTTATTTTTTATTTCAAATTTTGGCCAAGCTCGTTTATTCCCAGGATGATGGAAGTTACTAAATTTAAGACCAGTGTTTTCTGTGTTTCGTTTGGCATCAAACTTTGGATTTGCGTCATAGGTATCAATCTGTTTCCTGGCTTACTTGATAAGAAGATCATGATATTCTATCATTTTCAAAATAAATTCTACATCAATTCAAAATCGCATCCGATCTAGATTTGTATTGAGATGTGAGAATAACTGACCTTGGGTCACTTGATTTTCAGTGATAGATAAACAAACAAACAAACAAACAAATAAACAACAAACAAACAACAAACAGTTTGATATCATTTTGTGGAATCCTTAAACCTGGGCATTTTCATTTCTATATTAGATATATTCCATGTGAAAGAAATAAAAAAAAGACTAAATATTCAACAATCTGGCTTTCTGTTATATCTTAAAGTTGGTACTACAGTATATGACTTTTACTTTTTAATTGGTTTGTAATTCTATTATATCCTCCATTTTCCAGATCATGTTAAGGTATTTTATCTGGGTCAATTGAAATGCACACAGCTTTCTTATCAGGTCAAGTGAAAATCTCATCTAAATATCATACTTCAATTTCCCAAATAAGACTCAGATTTTCTCAATATTTGGATGTATTTAGACAACTTGAGAGTTATTATCATCCCCGAGTTTCATTAGTTCTGAAAATGGAGTCATCTTATAGAAAGATAAGTAGAAAAAGATGTGAAAATACTGGTTTCTATGGCAACCATGCTATTCAAACCTGAGCACATGTGGTTTTCTTCTCAGAAAATAAAAACTCTTAGTGAATTTCGAGGTTGAATTTAACAGTATGAGTGTTATATTATTGGTTATGTATTTGATAGAACTCACCCAGCCATATAACTGGATTAATCCATCCTTGATGAAAATATCATGATATATCTTAAATTGTCTTTTATCGATAAAAATTTGGACCTACTGTATAACGGCATATATTAATGATGAACACAAAATCTAATCTACAAGATTATGCAGTAATTGCTCTTTGTTAAGACTCTGTCGTAAGGGTTGGGAGATTTTATGTGAGGAAATGTCGTGGAATGTCAGATATTCGTAATATATGGGCACAATGGGTAAAAATGATCACCAGTCATGACAAGCAAAATAACAGTTATTTGTAGATATTATGGATTTAATACAATTGTCCTAGATTAATTCATTCCTGGTTATCTCCAGAGATTTTGCTAATACTTCTTGACATGGATGAGTCACGCCATTGGATTTATTGAATAAATAAAACAAAATAAATTTAATCCGTTGCTGCTAATATTTGAAACTAAGCTAACACGGTTGATTTATCAAATCCTTAGTTCGTCTTCAAGTACATTTTTTCTGAATGTTGCGCATGATGGATAAAATTGGCATGTAGATGTAATAAGAAAATATAACTCAGATTGAGAAAAAAATCAACTGTTATTGGACGTTGTATGTTTTCACTTGTATGGTGCTTTAATGTTACAGATACTGTATTTCCTGGTGGATAACATCATATCCTGTATGGGATAAACTGTAAATATTTTATCTTATGTGTTCTTTAGGTCGAAGTAAAGAAAGCCCAACCAAAAGAGGTGCTTTGTCCACAGGGTACAACACAAATGAGAGGTAGGCTCCATGATCCTTTGCCCAACATGGTGCATTATGGGTAACTGGCAGACGGAAAAGCAGAACATAATAGACCAATCAAATTCATTGAAAATAAATGAATTGAATAACCTGAGCTGAAGAGAAAAATTCTGAAATTAAAACCAAGAATATCCTGACGAATGATTTATTCAATTCGAAGATTTTCAATATCTACATTCAGCCCAATTTTTCTGATTCTCTGACCAATCATAATGATGTTTATTATTCGCCTAGGTAGAAACGAAAAGGGCACTGCCAAAAGAAGCCATGATGCCTACTTTGCTCAATAGAGGGCATGGTTTGATATCGACCCTCGGTAGGTGGCCATTTATTGTGGGTTCTAGGCTAGAGGCTAGTGAATCGTCATAGCAACGGGACAGGGGGGCACACTTGATTCTAGCTATATAGTGTATGATCTAGATGCTTTCTCAATCATGCATATGTCTGAATATATGCAAGTGTACAATATTATCACAGTTTAGAATCTCATCTAGCCAGTTGGTGTGTCCATGTAGAGTAAAACATTGGATACCCCTAAGTATGCAACACTTATTTTCTTTTAATATGAATTTTGAATGTTCCACTTAACGGTAGCCTAGCTAGCCCTAGACCTATAGTGCAATGCCCACATTGAGCGCTACTTCTGGGTAAAATGTTTCGGTCATGTTTCTAAAAGTCTATATAAGTAGAACTAAGCATAACCCAGGAATATTTTATGACGTCCAAAATTATTAACATGACCTTGACAACATTTTATTCATGGGTAATTTTTGGTTCTTTTGGAACATTTTGGTTTGTTTGCCTGATACGTTGAACCTTGTCTGTGTATATGATGTGTCAGTTACCCACAATGCTTTGCAATAGTTGCAGACGTAAAAACAGTTCACTATATCTAGTTGTTTAGGATTACTATGCTTCAATAATTTGTCATGACAAGAACAATGCTATGTATTTCCCATGACAGGAAAAGCATCATTTATCAATAATATTTCAACGTAACTCTGTTATTAACTCGACACTTTTGACATTTTATCATGGAGTAAATGAGAGAGAAACATTTTTATTAATTCCAATTATGTACATTAAGACCGTCTGCATTTGAATCTCAATAGTGAAACTCGACATATATACGGCCACATTGACGTTCTTCTGTCTATTTCCTGTATCGTAACATATTTATGATCTTCTAATACTATGAAACTCACAAAGATTATTTGTATTATAAGTCTATTACTATCAGACAACACTGTGACATGACCTTTGATAAAGTACCTGTTCATATTTTCATATTTTCAATCGATTTAAAAATGCCATACAAGCCAAAATTAATGTACCCCCCCAAAATTGATTCAAAGGTAAAAATATTTTTACGATATATATTAGAACAGACTAATTGTTGCGTCGTAGAACTCGCTGCTCTTTCAGGTCTCCCCTTCCCAGGGTTCCCAGCATACGCCTATGGTCGGGCGGGAGGATTCGCCTATGCACCAGGATATTACTTTCCAGGTAAGAGCAAGACTCTGTCTGAATGTAGCTTAGAGCAGAATGTGGATTCTGAATATTTAACATGGTTGCTAAGGTAACCATGATCATTACCATGGTAATAATCATTACCATAGCAACCTATGATGCAACTACAAATTAAACATGATTGTTTTTGTAGTTGTGTCATAAAATGGGCTTCTTTGAATGTTAAGGGTAAAGGTGAAATTCTATTGCATGCAAATATATGAATATTCAGCTTATGTCCAGTAGATCAATTCCTCAACCAAAAAGACTAAGAATGTTAATTCATTGAGAAAAAACTGATCTATAATGGTGGTGAAAGTCTTGATACATTCAGTCATTATTAAATATTTACAAAATGCATTATTCCCAATGACTTGTTTATCCCTAGCAACTACATTTGCTCCCTAGCAACCAGTGTTTTCTCATAGCAGCTGAAGTTGCTATAGCAACACTGTTCATAAAACCAAACTTGTAGCCAGTACCAAATATTAAACTAAACCAAACCGAACTAAATGAGTAGCCCATTGTTGAACATTCCATTCTTTTTTTAGTTCATTAGATACAATTATTATGATGTGCATTTTGAGAATGTACGCCTATAGTTCACCATACCACATCCTAATTGTTTATAGTCCACAAACCCCTTGCTTGTAGTCTTGTACCATTGATGCATGATTGAGCACGGCAGTGGCCCATTACGTTCTGATGTTATTGGTCATTTAAAATGGATGCCATTATTTCACAGTATACTTCACCCCCTTTTCATGCGGTGTAAATTTCATTTAGTTACAATGTTTAGCATATTAGAGTTGACGGGAATACAACTAGTGGATGGAAAAAGCTTATGGATAAAAATTTTTATGAAAATCATGGAAATTGCCTTGTTATTTCAAAAAGTAGCATAAGTTACCTCGATCATTGACACACATTTTAAAGTTGAGCTTGATCCTAGTTTTTTCGAGTTATCGTTAAGATGAATGTTATTTGAATGAGTGCATCCCGTTGTTGTATTTCACCCATTCGTTACACTAGTAGGCATTTTGTAGTATTCCTGTATCAAAATCTTCTCTTGCCTGATCTCCTCAACCCATCGCATTAATCGTTATATTTTCTAAATTCGCAACCCAAATTGATGATATCATATACTCTGTACTTGAATTGTATCACAACACTTTGCCAATTTCATATAGTGTCAGTTATCATATTGTATACATGGTCAAGTCTCATAATTTCTTGAAAAGTACATATAATGAAATATATGTTTTGATTATAACAGGGCTCGGACCTGCATTCAGCCCAGCTGCGGCCTCCGCCCTATCTGCTAACAGCCCTCGTGGAGGGCCTAGCGGTGTAGGGCGGGGTAGCAGTCGTGGGGGGCGCGGGGGAATGAGTGGCTACTCCCCAAGAACGCCTGGTAAGATCCACTGCTCGTGCGTACATGATGTAGGACCGCTTTCACTCCATTAGTTCTAGCCTCACTCTGGCACAATTTGGCCATGTTTGACATTGCCATGGCAACAACATTTTTAGATTTTTTGTAGTGTTTACACCTTGATAGTGTTTGTTTTATATATTTGTATCGTTTGTGGGGTATTTTACACACTAAACTACTTTAAGTGTCTTGCTGCTTTAACGGTATGGACTAATACAGATATACTGGGTTTAATGCACTTTGTTTTATCGTTTGGAATTTTTTAATCTTTTGCGGTGAGGTCTCTCTACAGGTGTGGTGCAAGATAAACTTACATTCTCAAAATGGTGTCTGATTTAATTTATATTTTTGATATCAACTGTGCTTACATTCCATTTTATATATAGAATTGTAGTGACATCAGCTTTCTCCACCATTAACCAATCAGATTTCTCTCAGAATTCTCTCCTTAATTATTATGGAACCCTAGAAATAGAATTGACCAATGGGAGCCTTCTGTGCATTTACACCTTTCAGTAATATAAAATTCTTGTGTTGTGACCAGCTAATTTGAGTGTTGTCACGACTTAACCCCATCTCCCATATATGGTTATCCCGGAGATATTGTCAATCCAATGCCATATATGGTGAGGCAAAGAACCACGCCATTTGCTGATATATTCCCAGATCTTACACATGAACTTGAAATGTTTTAAATATTTAATATGTGATTTTGTATGAATTAATACATCAATTGTTTTTATTATAAATTAGTGCTTAGCTTTTTATAAATCTAATAAACAGAACTTACCAATCTGTAATCCTGTAAAATGTGTAACGTATTGTTATATGTTATGTTATGTATGTTTCCTTTCATAAGACCATGTACCATGCTTATACTAGATAGTGCATTCTATGATATGGCCTTATGTAAGGTTAAAGTGGATCAAGTCTCAAAATTATATTTTGAAATTTGGTCATTTGGTATGTTACATTTGTGTCCCAAAATTGTTTGAAATATTGAATTTGATTATGGGTAAAAATGTAATAGCGCCACCTTTTATTAACAAACAGTTACGATGTGTATGCACGGGCCCCCACCATAAGCTATCCACCATTGTGACAACAAAAGCGTTGAGAAAAGAATTAATGAACATTTTTATTCTGAAGAATTCCTTGTGAATTATGAAAAATGCTATTTTCTGGGAAGGGTGTCTCTAGATGTATAAGTTCCAGAATTTTCTTTTTTCTCTGTAAACGACTGATTTAGGCATGTATATAAAATTATTAGATAGAGTTTTCAACTTAGATCGACTTAAATAGAAGCAATTTTGTGTGTGAGGGTGGGGGTGTATTTCAAGAAACCGGATTACAACAAAATATTTTTACATTTGACCCTTGAAATTATATAATGATTTGGACAACTCCCTTTTATAATACTCTTCAAGTTGCATATCTTTAATTTGTATGGTGTGAAAATAATATAAGATTAGAATCAGGGGCTGGCTCTAGCTGTTGGTGGTTGGGTTGCTATAGCAACATTCCGTGGAGACACCTAGTGAGTGTTTTGAGAGTTAGAACACTGCCATTTCCGGGCATCTGATTGGCCAATGCATGTCCTGGTATCTGCACAGCACACTCCACTGAATATCCAAGCTTCTTGTAGTTGGTCAATATATAAAGAGTTTAGCTCAGCTTTAGAAATGCATTTTAGCATGATATATATACAACTCTAATACTAAATGTACCTCATATAATATTGTAAGTTTTAATTAGCCTTGACTAGAATTTGGTTTTGGTATTTTTACTAGATCCTTTTTAGAAAGTTCAGATTTCTACTTGATTTATGAAAGTTGTGTTTAGATGTAGTTTTACGATATTTAAGTGTGCCGTGTGAATATTAAGACCTGCAGTGCCACCTATCAGTTGCCCTGGGAAGTCAGTGGGACCAGCGTCTGCTCAGATCTGTTACCATGGTAACACACCAGTTAGAACACATAAAATAAAGAAATGTGAAATCAAATCCAATGTTTTAGGTTAATATGTAATTAATAGGGATATTTCATGACAATTCATGACATTTTTGTACATGTTCCAAAAAAGCAATAGTATTATCCTATTGTGAATATTTATGTGTGACAAGTTCTTCCTGGTGTGCTACCATATATGGGAAAGATCTTGGTGATTGCTATGGTAACATGGGACTTGCTATTGTAGTTGGCTACCCTGGGGCATCAACCACACCCAATATGGGACTAATGCAACAGACTGCAACCGCCCCCATAGATGCTGTCCGCCAGGCAGCGGCTGTCTCAGCCGGTGCAGCTTATTACGCCGATTTGGCCCCCCAACAGAATCTTTTCCCAGCAGGCCAGGGCACGACTAATGCCCTCGTTGCAAGAACCGAACCCTCCCCCATAACTGCGGTCTCAAGCATGGCTATTCGAGATCAATATTCACAGCGCTCGGCAGCTGCAGGTACTGGTCGTCTCATGACTAACCACAAAGAGATTTCCACATTCTGACTTCCGAGATACTTAAACACTCTGTACATATAAACTCAAAAATAAAAGAATACCCGAGAATACTAATTCAAAAAGTGAAATAACTTCTTGAGAGTTTCATTTTAAATCATATTTGAAATCATTTTTACGGAGCATTGGTTTGTTTTTGGGGGTATTGACTGTTTTCGGGGTATGGACTATTTTCAGGGTATTTAATTGAGTTCCTAAACCTCTATATGTACATGTACACCAATATGCAATTGTATCTTTGAAGTCAGAAGGTGAAATATTAATACTAGGGGGTTAGTGAATAAAATCCCCATTCACTCATCCATCAATGTCATTTTTCCTTATTTATGCTAGCATGCCATCTTTATTCATGCTTTTGTACTAACACTTTACACCTACTATTGTGGCAATATAGACTTAAAGTACCTTCTTCTCCTACCTCCCCATCTTTTCATCTTGGGTAACTTTTTTCAAAATTAGCACTTTGGTCATGCATTTCATTGTAGACTTTTTCAGAAATGGGGTGAATTAGCTTGAAATAAACTAGAACAACCTGAATGGATAAAATACAAGATTTCATGAAATCGTTTGAAATTAATACCTTTTATATGAATAATTTTCCAGAAATTGGGTAATTTCGCATGATCAAACGTCATTAATAGTATGAAATGGAACGCAAGTGCTACTATTTCCTGTATCGATAAATAAAATAGAGGCTCGTTGCAGACATAAGTACAAATCATAAACTTATTATTTAAGTATCCAGGTTCCCATTTCTCATTTATTTAGCATAATGGGCTGCATATTAGGTATTGAAGAATATCAGTTATGAATATCAGTGCTATAAAAGCCATGTTGCCATGGTAACAGTAATAACATAGTTAGTTTTAGTGTTTTGTTGCCATAGAAATGCAGTGTCTTCGCATAGAGTACAGTAGTTACAAAAAATAGATGTATGTAATTAGCATGGTACCTAGCCTTGGTTTAATTCCTAGTTAAGATAATAATTTTTAGTTGAACATGGACATTCATTTATCATCGAACTGTTCGGATAATTCACCGTGTAGCTGTATATGTGATTATATTTGTATAACACTGTCTATAACAGCTTTTTATACATGTAGAATCTACTTGTATAAATGTGTGTAAATTGTTAAAATTGTGTTTTTCAACTCATGCTTTGTGGTTGATATGTGTTAATGGCTACATATACTACAGTGCTGTATCAAACGTTTTACACTTAAAGGGGCAGTTGATGTGGGACTGAGTATATAGATGGCGCTTATAGCCATTTAATTTTATGTGATTTTTGCCCACGAATATAAAATGATAGTGAAGTTCAAATCTCAAATTCCAATTCCTGTATCATCATTTTAAAATCTATCCATTTCTTAAGCTTATAAGCTTCACTCCTGGCCCCAGATGAGCATAGCACATCCCCAAATCTATGTATACATGATCTGGGCTTCAGTGCTTCAATCATGGCCCCAACTAAGGATAATGTATTTGCTTGCAGCTGCTGCCAGCCATAAACCCAGTTTAATACTACCCAATCATACACAACCATATATTAACAATATACAAGGTAGGGCGACATCTATTACAGCTACCTCAATAGTCAGAGCCCTCTATAGTTCGTTAGTGTAAATATGTAGCTATATGTCTAGTTTAGCCATTAATACGTGGGGTTTGATTTAGAAAATAGGATGTGGGGGGGGGGGGTAATGAGCTCAATATATAATTGAAATGTCCTTTGCTGGATTTAATCTTGTTAATGGTGCCCAACAATCAAATTTATCCATGAAAATCTTAATTTAGACTTCCTTTGGAAGCAATGTCACTATTATTCCTAGTTCTGATGAAAATGTAAGCAACAATTTGCATGTTGGACTCTAATAAGTCCCTTGGTTAGATAGAGCCCTTGGGTAAAGTCCTCCAATATTAAACCCCATAGAAGCATGAAAAACATAAACCAAAAAGTATACAATTTATAGTTCAAGAAATCAGACCTAGGTACATTTTTTGTTACGTTATTATATTTGGCTGTAGTTTTAACAAGTATGTGTTAGGTTGTAGATAAATTAGGAAAAATAACTTATCTTTTCCATTCCTATTGAGTGCAGTCTTTCCTTATTAGGCTGCATTCAAATTTTTTTCACTCTGATTCTGTATGACTTTTAGGGGTTTAATTATGGCCCGATACTTTTACTATACTATCTTCCTATTTTTAAATCTAAATCAATTATTTATATCTAATTTTGTGTTCTATCACCTTTACTTATTTTATATTTGTTTAATTTAACACCTATTTCCCCCATTGTTTAATCTTTAAGAACTAATCTATTATCCCCTCTATTTTACCCCCAAAATACCACCTTATTCTACCTGCTACCTCTTTAGTATATAGAACCAGTAGCTATTAAAATATAAACTATTTGGATCATTGTAATTATATTATTGTCTCGTATATCATGTAAAAATATTTGTTATTCCATATAATCATCATTTATCACAAGGAAAATATATTATCAATACTTATTGAATAATCGTTATCTCTGTCATCTCTAACATAAATGTTTCTTGAATTTTTCGATTAACCAGAGCTTTATAGTTCTTGAAAATATTGCAAATGACGATTTCTGAGGTCCAATTATCTTTTTGAAATGTCCTGTATCTTGAAATACAGAGTGTCCATATAGACTTGCTTTACAATTATGATACCAAGTCTGTGTAGCATGTAGAGACTTTATGGATACCCTGTACAATTGGAAATCAGCAGTTGTGATTTGGGATATTTTTGAGAGCAGGCTCGGAGCACATGTGTGTAAAAATGCGTGGATTGATGAAATACATGCTCAGCTTTGCATTGAAGTTAACCTGTGCATGGTTATTGGAGAGCATAATATTTGAACAGCATTTTGCTTGCCTACTTTATACAAATGGTGTATCAGAAAAAAACATTCATTTTTATGCAAACATTCGATATACAGTTACTCCTTTATGAAAACCAAAAAACGTTGACAACATATTTTAACACGATTTCTCATGTGGATGTCTTTAATATCACTAATTGTGCACAGGGAGGGAGGGGAGAGGGGCGAGAGGGGTGAGGAAGATATCCATGTATGATGTATAAATTAGGCAGCTTTGTGCTTACACTGTTTGTTTGTTATTGTTGCTCACCCTGTCTTCTTGTAACACCGAGTGACATGTGTGCTAACCGCCACTGTCCGTCTAATAGCCGCTGATCTGACTTCCCTTGCAGTTATGAACAGTTACGGAGCTCCAACTGGTTATGGAGGCCCCACATCGCCCGGCAACAACCGATCCATCGCACAAAACAGCCCCGCAGGATTTGATCTGTACAATTCCTCCGACATTTCATCAGGTTATGTGCAGGCAAGCAGTCCACAACCATCCGGGTTCCCAACCTCTTTAGCTGTAAGCAACAGAGTACGTTTCTATCTTTGCTTTCTATCCTGAATCTTTTGTGTGGTGTGTCATGGCTACTGTCGTCTGCACAAATTGCAACAAACTGATTTTTCTGATATCCTGTTGAGATTTAAAGTTTCAATCAAATGTTGACTGAAAATATATGAAGAAGGGGTGAAGGGAGGATAGATTTATGATCTGAAACATGACAATCCAGACATTTTTCATAATTTTTGATTTTGAAACCTTTTCAATCAGCTTGGATTAACAATTTTGCTTGGGAAAAGTCTTATTGTCAGATTTGAATTTTAAATTTTTGGCTTTTATTCCTGGTGCGAGGTTTTTGCTTATTCTTAGTTTAGTTTAGTTAATAATTAAACCTCTCTGCCAACTACATGTACATCCATGTTACAGATATATTTAACCGTTTATCATGATGTATCCTTTGCCATTGAAATCATTAATTTTAACACATTGCTTGTTCTCCTCAACAACTTCCCATTCAATGGTAAAGGATATGTCCAAATTTATAATTCCATCTTTTACGTGTATCTGAAAAAAAGATCTATTTTTTTTTATAATTATTGACGAGCAATCAGAAAATGAAAGATAAAAATTGTTTTTTGCACAAGTATGTAATACTGTATTACGATAGAATTTAGCCTATAATTCATTCAAACCTATTTCGCTGATTTTACACAACGTTTGCATTGTTATAATATCCTTGTCTCCACTTCCTGTTTGGTGCATTCTGGGAGGTGGAAGAAACAAGTGTGTCTGAATATCATGGAACTAAAAAGTTTTGTTCTCTCAAATTATTTCGATTATCAATTAGCAAAGCCTAAGTCTGACCTATTTTACATGGTCTTGATCAAAAATGTTTATAGAGAATTTTAATATTTTTAATTCAACATTTTTTGAAATTGATTTGATTCTGGAACATATCTATACCCCTAAATATGATATTTTAGACACACTTGTATATTTGGCTATGCTTTACTTGTTTTTGATATGTTTGCACTTACTGACCTTTGTCACATTTGACCTTGACCTTTAGGGCACCTTGATACCAGCATTTCAAAATGGCTTCCATTGAGGATCAAAACAGTATCGCTGTGAATGCAAAGGAGATTGAGGTATTTCAGTAGTCTCTAGTTCATGTCGTATGCTACGGTTACAGTTTGAAATAATTTCTTATTTTGCATACGGATTTGTGATGGTCATATTAAATGGAGTGATCTGATATTATATAATGGTTGAATTTTCTTAAAACATATCATGGCAAAATCGAGACAATCAATGGCAAAATAAGAAATTATCATTCTGTATTAAGTACTGAGTGTCCAGTAGAATGTACATGTAGCATGTAGCAATAGCGTGTAACATCATGAGTAGCATGCGTTTGAAATAAAAGTAAGAATTCTTTTTGAAACTCCATCTTTATTTTCTGAAAGTTTGTGTTTGCCACAATATAGATTCTATGATAAAATGTGGATTTAATTAGTTTATTGGGAAATTTCAGATTGAGGTATATTTTTTAAGAAATCAGCCATGAGCTAGAATCTATCTTGAATTTATGCCCCCTTATTAATAACAACATTTGCTTTTAGCTAAAACATAAGCTTGACAAAATAACAATTTACAGCTCAACAGAGTTAAAATATCAGCTATCCCTTGCTTGTAACTCAAGCTATATAAACTTAATCGAGCAAGTTTGAGAGAGTTTTAACACCCAGACCAAAAAACTTGTATTCAAATGTTTGAGATATCCATACCAGAGTGTATAGGCTCACAACAGAGAAACATACAAGCTTATATTTTTGATAACCCAATCTTTTTACTGAATATTATTAGATGATCCAATAGTGCAGTAGTTAAGTATATTAGTGCATGGTGTATGCTTGATATCTCCCACATGGACCTGGAGATAATTAAATTGCCATTTTAACATGTTTTAAAAATTAAGATACTTGGTTGAAAGTATGGAAACAGTTTTAGAATCAACACTATTCAAATAATAAGACTTCAATCTCAAAAGTTTCATGATAATTTCAGTTTCAAAATATAAGAGTATTGATTTATGCATGAATACACCGAATAAAGTGGATGAACCTACTTAGCAGATCATACAAACTATATGTATCGATAAAATTTAAATTTTGTATTTTAAATCTTTTCCAGGCTGGATTTGGGGGCCAGTCAACTGGGGCATTCGCACGTAACTTTTAATGGAGCCATGATATATAGGAACCAATGCAGATACGATAAACTACAAACTAAAGCAATCTCGATAATATTAATAATAATGCCCCAGACCTGATTTAATAATCATATAGGACTTGGGGATTCGTCCAAAAGGAGGCTGAGTGTAATAAAGAAATAAATGTACAATATTTGATTAATGCGAGGGATTGTGTTCCCGATCCAGATCTGCCGAGGCTCTCAGTCGGTGTATATTGACGATATATAAACTATATGTATACACGAAACTATGTACATGTTATCTATATACAAAGGAGGTTTCACTAGCTCGCTGGAGAGGCATATTTCAGAAACCAAAATGGCTGGGTATTTTACCCGGACCAAGCTGTATAAATATTGTAGTCTTAGTAGTAGTTTTTGCTGTGTAGTGATGTAGACTAGATGTAATCTCTTCTAAGCATTTTCGAACAAAGGGGTATCTTCTCTCTAATGCTTTATATATAGCGATGCAACGAAAACCGGAACAAAGTAAAACCAATTTTTTAGCTTAGTTCTTCATTGATTTCTACAACTGGCTGAATTTTCTCAGCTACAGTATATGTATAGTGTTTTTTGAGGTCCTCTTTTTTCATAATTCAATCAGTACCTAGAATTCTCATGATGTTGTCATAACAACTTACAAAACAATGTCTCATTAGCCTACAATGATTATTTTATTTTACCTCCTTTTTTGAAGAGTTCTACAAGTTAGATAAGATGAGTAGAAGACAGTGTAGATTTACATTTAGCATCGAAATATGAAGAAATCATGGTGAAATGCTACAAAAGTTACCTCCTTTTGGGGGCGTTTATGGTGGCCATACTTATTCGTGGCTTGTCCACACAACATATAAAAGCAATATAAACATTGTATCTATATTGTAAATTTGGAGAATCATATACATCTCCGTTTTATGGTATATATTTTGTGTATTGGAATATTGTATTCGCAACTTGTACGTTGACTGCAAGTTTATTGCCCGCGCTGGTCACAATTTGATCCTCGAATAAATTGTATCGGTGGGCTTGTTTTCAAAACTTGGAATTAGTGAGGAATATGTGTAGAAATTCCTACTTACGGTGTGTAATACTGGCACCTATCAGTTTTGAAATGAGATTGCCACCTTTCAGTATATTTGAAGGGCATATTACGCTGCGGACAATTACACTTAAAATGGCTGGAATTTAGTACCAATGTTAATATATAGAGGGAGTCTGTAGTATATTGTCGCACAATTTCTCTAGGTTTATCACAGTAGGGTTTTTAACACAAATGTACTTAGGAAAAACAATGTTTTTGTAAATTTTTGATGAGATGGCTATACTGTACATTATCTATTCATTGTTATTTATTACTGTTTTGTATATATATATATACAGGAGAACTTAGAAGATAACATCTGTGAACTTGAAAAGTTACAAGAGGTCTTGCTTGCTATTTTAACCCAGTTTACTATTGTAGTTTTATGTCTTGTCATGACAGGATTAGATATGCCAAATGACGTTTTCTTGTCATGAAAGCCAAAATGGACGCCAAACACAAGAAAATATCAAATTTTCATCTGGCTTGTCATGGCAAGGTATTCTTACATTTTAACAAAGCTATTTTTATATAGGATGGGAAGTTGTGCGAGGCTGTATTGCGACCTTTTAGTGTAAAGTTAGGACAAATGATGATGTACACAGTGTAAAAAGTTCACAACATATATAGTATATACTAACATATATTGAGCATATATTTATGCCCGATCATTATGCATCATAATATTTACTTCTTCATCAATCGCATAACTTATCTGGTTATTTATAATATTATTTTAAATTAAGTAAATGGGTTAAAGGTGATGTGAGATTTTGAACAAATGTTTTTCCTCTTTTTGCATTGTTCAGAGAGCATATTTGTTATGTACAGAAACTAAGCTTAAAGTGTACAGTATAGGGTAGCTATAGTGTTAGGTTTAGGTAGGGCAATTATGAGCATCATGGCCAGGAATAATCCAAGACTCACATATGGCGTAAAAGAATTCCATTTAGCCCCAACGGTGGATCAGTTAAAACAAGACATTGGTTTTGAAGAAATCGTCATGTTACGTTATTGTTTGACTGTAAGGCCCGATTGTACAACGAGTCTGCCTATGTGTCGGGAATTTTTGTCTGGCTCAATCACTGCTATGAGATTTTACGTTTGGGGTGAAACCCAAGCAATCATTTTGTTGTTTTCACATCCCATTCTAGATTCAAGGGGGTCATGCATTCTCTCACATCCTTCATTTGAAAAAATTAATCCTAATTTGCCTTTATTTTTTCCATACTTCATTTCGAGATCATATTTTAAACACAAAATGTGAAAGGAGATGTCCTTTATCGGCAATTATCATGAAGTAATAGCCTAATTTCGAAGGTGAATTTCTCAATTTTGACCTCAATTAGACCTAATTTTCAGATTTCCTTATCTTTGATTGGTTGAGAGAAGGCATGATCTCAAATGGATCCTTGTGTCTCATTCAATGCTACCTCTACATGAATATTAAGATCTACTCTCGCAAAATGTTTCATGACACTTTTAACAATTTTTAATTTTTAGGCATTTCGACGTCTCTGGTTAATCTTGATGAACCGGGGAATGTCAGCCATTTTGAATTTTTACGGTGAATGAACAAACTGCATTTCTGTCGGAGCGATGTTAAATTCATGAATTTTAAAAAAGAGCTTTTATATATACGTATCATACACGCACTTTTACTAGAATTTTTAGATTTCATTTTTTGTGATTGTACAACAAAGTGATCGAAATGTTAATATGCATAAAAACGCAAGCATTTGTTATTTTTTGTTCAATGCACAAGTTGTTTTAGATAGTGCACCAGATTATTTACGATTCTCCGTCTTGTCTTTTAAAAATTTTAAGTGACTGTGTAAAATGCAATAATTCGTAATAATAATATGTTATATAGTTGTATTCACGAAATCCGACCTAGTATAATGTGATTCTGGTTACATTCAAAGTTGTGGGTGATGCAATCTCTCAACTTGTAATAAATTATGAAGAAAGATTGAGGTATTTTATCCTCTGCACTTTGCCGTAACTGGTTATATGAAGTAATAATAATAGAGTTATCTGTAACAGTGTCAAAAATGTAATATGAAAAAAGCAATGTAAAATTTATCAAAATCGGGTATATATATGTATGTCCTAAGTCTATTTATAAAGAAGGTAGTTAATGTCTCTACTGTAAACAGTGTATTTATGTATAAAGATATCAACAGATCTGTTAGCTAATAGATGGACATAGCGTAGTGATGTCACCATGGTTACGCTCGCACACCAAGGTCCTCTGGTGTCAGTTTTCCGTACTATATTAGATTTAGTTCTGACCTAACACAGCACGTAACACCTTAACCAAAACATGTGCCAAATTAGCATTCATATTGCATATAGAGACATCTATTGAGACGTTTAAGATTGTGCGATGTCGGCAGATATCAGGTCACAAACTATGAACTAGTGTACAGTTAGTTTGGGCCTTGAAGGCCATTGTAAGTACGTACAGGGTCTAAGTTATATTGTATACATTAATTATTGAAATATTTAAGGCTTTAATATAGGTAGAATCCCTAGGCTAGTTTGAGTGTACAGTTAGATAAAGGACTCCGGGGGGAAGGCGAACAATTCTGTGCCCTTTGGCTTAATTTGGCAATAATTACTTTTATCCATGAAAGATGGCACTGAGGAGTTTGTTATTATGGTTTATATGGTGCTTCAGCAAATCACCATGGTGACCATCAGTTATGGATAATAGTGGATTGATTTCGTCCAGTAAGGTTAAGAATATAAGCTTACTATTTGTACTTAGTTCACCTTCATATAGAAGTCCTTGGTTTTCATATATCTTTTCATAAATCCCATGTTTTCACGAATCTTCAAATTTTTGTATAAAGATGCCATTGAATTTATGTAAAATCCCAAAATTAGTAGTGTGGATTTGATATACATTCATGGGTTTTGATGCGAAATGAAGTATTGTGAAGAAAATGGTGTTTTTCTGGAGATAGGAGGTGCATTTATAGAGGGCGTTTTCCTCCCGTGTTCAGGTCAGTTGATTATATATGCAACTTAATATATTTATGACAAAAATGTATTGGATTTAATATTATCAGATTGTATTTCAAACTGTTCAAAAGATGTCTCTGAATGCAATGTTTATAATTGGTGTGTCCGGGTCAGTTGAATGAACATACAGAATATTGGGGACACCTGCCCAACCTTGCACCCCTCCATGGTGCTAAGATGGACTCTTCTAAAGTGGTCATGGTTCATTTATTGTTTACACCAAGGGGTGATAGGTTAAAGATTTATTGAAATAAAATGTCCATGTGTAAATTGTGCAAGAACGAGCAATTATTAAAAATAAAAATGTTTGGAAAATGTATATAAAATATAACTTGTTTTTGTTATGTTATTAAATCAATGTGATGATCCCAAAAATGAAACTACTTTTCATGAAAAAATATTCGGCAGTCTATGCAGATTTCATCAAGACCCTGTTGTCAATGGACCCAGCCAAATACCTGCTAATACCTGCCAAACTGAAACTCACTGATACACCCCCCTTCATAAGTATAGCAAGTGGATGTTTTCATTCACTAACATATCATAGTCTGTCAATGTTTGAAGCTTAATTTTGTTCCTTAAATACAATATTTCAAAATATATGACAAAGATGATTTTTCCTGAATCGGCAAACACAAATAAGTTTTTAATAAGTCATCCAAAAGGAGACTTCTGCTTGCCAAACTTATTGAGGGTAGTGTACTTAACATTAATATGCAACATATACTACTGAGCCCTACTGGATTGGGAATTGCTATATATAATATGAAACAGACTCGTCTATTGTCAAAGCTTGTGACATTTTGATGTAAAAACAGATATATCAAAAATGGCTCATTGCATAGTAACCATCAAATTGTAGAACTGTAGCAGAAATTTCTTTACAAGTTTGAGAAAAGAATCACAACTTGTCCCCTACCCCTATGACAGAAAAGGTGGCAAATATAACAAACAAAATCAGATGTGTGTGACCATGAAAATACAAAATGTATTTGTAGTGTTTTAATTCATCAACATAAAAATACATGTATACATGTATTAGCCCAGATTAAGATTTAAAAGGTTTCAGTTTCTCACCTCATTAACTTGGATAAAATAAATAGTACCATGGGTACTGGGCTCACATAGTATAGTAATTTCAGTCTTATTGAAAGCATGTACATTCCAAGTACACTACCATTTAATCTAAATTGATTTGTTTAAAGCTGTTCATAATGTTGTTTATAATATCATCTTTAATTTGTACAAGTTCAATGTCAGACACCACCACAACAGACAGGCGGATATCTGGAGATACTTGAATTGATGAAAAGCTAAACAAAGACACAAATAATGTTGAAAAGGTTGTTGACATAGAATTCATGACCAGTGACAAGATAAGAGAGCCACTAGAGGTGATATTATCACTCTTTGACTCTATGAGAGACTTATGCTTGGTTATTGGTGCTGTACTATTTATGCACAAGGGAACATCTCATAGTGCTATCTATGTTTGAGTGAAATAAGGCAGTGTAGTCACATCTGAAGAAAAAATATGTTTCAGAACAGTGTTTTTGACTTTTGAAAACATCCACTGGTCACATGAGTCATTTTAAAAATAAAACATATCATAGACTTTATATTCCTCGAACATCCAATGATAAAAAGGACCTGCAACTGACAAATCCTGCAACACAATTGGCTAACATTCATCACATGATAGCAATCCCCAGTGCATGATGGTAACAACAGACAGTTCCCTCTGCTGCTCAAAAGCTATCAAATCATATGATGTAAAGAACATACAATAAAGCTTTTTCAGTCTATGAGCCCATCAGGCAAACATGGCTAGAAAAGAATTGCTGCTACTCCAGATCATCCTGGTGGCTTTTCTGGCCCCAGGGGTGCAGCCTCAGCCTCTGACCCCAGAGGAGAGGACGCGTGTGGATGAGTTTATGAGAGAGGTGAGGGAGTGCTCCAGCCACACAGGCATGATTGTAAGCATGGTGCGTGGGGGAGAGACTGTCTTCACAGGAGGTAGGTTCACTTTTCAACAGTATCCAGGGGGGAGGTTCAAACTTGGGGGAGAGACTGTCTTCACAGGAAGTAGGTTCACTTTTCAACAGTATCCAGGGGGGGGGAGGTTCAAACTTGACAACCACAGGCCAAAATCACTTGAAAAATCCTCAAAATGGTGAAAAATGCATGATTTTGTAAAAAATTATTCAGGACCCTCGAACGCCCCAAATGGCTATGGTCTGGTGTCTAACCTTTAAGAAACATTTTTTTAGCTTATGGATTAGCAGTAGATAATGAGGGCACAGAGAATGACATCCCTGCTACTACTTCCACTGTGTTTCCTATAGCTTCCTGCTCTAAGCACTTCACAGGAACCATTATTGGACATGTCTTGCAGAACACCAAGTATGAAATATATTCAGAAATTAATAAATAAACTAGATAACAGCAATACCAAGGTGTAATAAATCCCATTAATGAAAATAGCCAATGTCAACAAAATCTTTCTACTTTTCCAGTACAGTAAAAAATTTCATTTTCGAGATTCCTGCCAATTAGTCAAATTGTCATTAGACAGTAAATATGTTTCAAGTATTCACACATTTAAGAATAATATAATCGCTCCACTACCACTACTATCCAGTTAAGTATAATAAAAATGTGAAATATCACGACGCATAATTAATAAAGTAGAACACCAATTTATAACACAATACACGTATAACATTAATCATTTAACACATTAATTGTTGCTTATCAATGCAGCTACGACTGGGATACTCCAGTGCACCAAATACTGAGAGATCAGGGTGAGGATGTATATTTCATTGATATGCTACGGACCAATGAGATGAGTCTGAGAGACCTGTTGGCCCACAGGCATGGTATACCAGGCCATGATGTCATCCTGGCAGCAAACACATTCAGCAGAGAGGAACTCATGCAGTATGTACCACTTTTACACATGAAATGATAATCAATGCAAAACTAAAGTTTGTTCAACCCACTCATCTCTAAAATGGTATCACCCATAGGTCAAGGAACATGTATTGTATTTGACTTTAATTTGGCGATCATTTTTGGTGAGCATGTTTTTCGTTCAGTGCATTTTCAAGATGGCCCGGCCGTTTAAATTGATAGAAACAAAAAGAAATATTGAAGAAATTGTTTATCAACAACACTGAAACTGAATTTTAAATTTTGTATGTACTTCTTGTGTACATGAAACTCAATCTAAAATGGTATCACCTGTATGTTTCTTTTCACATTGGATTATGGTTTGGGATAGTTGGGGTTTGTTTTTCCTTATGACTGGTGTACACTTAGATAATTTATTTTTCTTGTTAGGTTCTGGAACAATTTTTGGTCCTTTTCCTTTGGAACTTGTGCGCTCATTCAAGGGAGAAACCTTTGCAGTTTTTAATTTACACATGTAATGATATCTCTCTTACCTATCGCTTTTTTCAATTCACTTAGATGTTTTCTTTTTCTTGTTGGGTTCTGAAACATTTTTGGTCCTTTTCCTTTGGCACTTGTGCATTCATTCAAGACAGAAACCTTTGCAGTTTTTTATTTACACATTTAATAATATCTTTGCTCTCAACAGACAACACTCACAGAATTCAAGAATCAATCTAAAATGATATCTATTTCATTAGAAACTTTTTCATTTGTCTCAACCAATCAAATCACATCTCTATTGTTCTTTATAACTCAAAAATGAATGACCTCAGGATTGTACCAGCTAGTCCAGTAAAAGTAAGAAAATAAGTTATTAACCTTGAATCATATACAAAAAGTCTACAAAAATGAAAGTTATGTGGTGGAATAAGGTTAAAATTTGATTCAAATATACTCCCTACCATACCGACTAAAACTATTAATTTTTCCTTAAATCACTGTTACTTGTAGACGAATCCGCTTCCTGAAACCGACATCACCAATAAGAAATAACTACGATTACAATAACATCCTCTATGGACTAGCAGCTTATGTTGTCGAGAAAATCTCTGGAAAAACATGGGACCAACTTCTCAAAGAAGAATTCTGGGATAAATTGGGGATGACCAGGACATCAACATTGTTGCTTGGGAATAGTACTGGCTATGATGGGTGGGCTAGAGGGCATGTGAGCCTCCTGGGAGAAAGCATCCTTGGACCACTGGACATGGCACGATTTGGGTGAGTTAACATTACAGGAGGCATTTTGGAATACTTTCTTGCTGTGTTTCTGTACCCATTTTGATACCATCATATATATGTATGATGATGGAGATTATTCTTAGTCGATGAATCCGCTTGAAAAATCCTTGGTACGTCTCTGGAGTTGTTGGAGAACTTGGATATGCATTGCGACAAGATATGCCACATTTCTTATAATAATAATGTACCAATGTACAAGAAAACAAGCATTAAAATATGCAAACTTGTTTAATAAACTGTATTATAACTGAACCTATTCCCAATGTAGGATTTAATAAAAATGGGTCACGTCATGAAGCCGTTTTGTTGATTATAGAGGGGTTGCCCGTGGAGCTGCTGGTGCTGGGGGAGTAGCAATTACAGCAGAGGACTGGGGGCGCTGGATGAACTTCCAGATGCACAACATACAAGAAGAAATTACACATCCTCAGATCATTGATGATGTCAGGAGTACTTCACAAATTACGAGGCGACTAGTGAGACGTGGCAGCACGAAGCCTGACAGACCATGGTTCAGGGGCAATGTAGGCTACGGACTGGGTTGGGGCATGGGCTGGTATAGAGGTAAGAAAGACCATGGTTTAATGGGTGTTATAAAGAAACCATACCAGCTATAGTAGATAATGGATTGGGAATTAATGTGAATTTTCGTCATTTAACTTTTAATGAGGTATCGATAGCTGAATATATAAATCATATCTTCAATTCATAGACCATGCATCACTAGTTGATTAAAATGACAATAACTTATTCATATTTAAGGCAACCCAACAGTATCACATGGAGGAAGTCTTCTGTTCTATACATCAAGCATGGGAATGCTTCCATATAGGAACATAGGGGTGGGCATGGCAGTTAACAACCCAGGCAGTCCCAGTAGGGCCTCCCAGTTTGCCATGGATATCCTTCTTGGGGTAGAGCCAACTGTTAACATATCTACAGTGTGTGGCCTTATACAGAAAGACAAAGAGGAACAAGAGGCTGATCTTGAAAATGAAGATGGAATGGTGAGACAATTAGCCAACCATTTGTTTTATGTAATCCCTTGTGCTTTTTCACTTTAAGGTAATCCATCTGTATCACACGGTGGCAGCTTGTTATTCTACAGTTCAAGAACACAGATGTTGCCATACAGGAACATAGGAGTTGGCATGGCAGTTAACAACCCGGGCAGTCCAAGTAGGGCTTCGAGGTTTGCCATTGATATCCTTCTTGGGGTGGAACCAACTGTTAATATCTCCTCTGTGTGTGGTCTCATACAGAAAGACAAAGAGAATGAAGACATTGAAGATGAAGCTGAGGCTGTAATGGTGAGGCAACCCTGCCCCCACCTGTTGTAATGACAGCACTATAGAGAACTCTCACGCATCGAAGCATCTTGGAGTTTAGCATCATTAAAATTAAGCTGCCTTAAATCCAGTTCAAAATCCATTTGCTCCAAGCTGATCATGGTTAAAATTTAAAATACTGCAGCATATATCAAGGAGGCCGAACCATCTGCTATTATAAATCTTTAGTTAACTGAAGAGAATGTATTCATGAATCATGTACTCATGTTTTTAATATGCAAACATTTCCATAAGTTTTGTTGGAATCCTTATTTCAATAATAGAACTGAGAACAACTGAATAATGTCTTAGAACCCTGGGTTCTATAACCCAACTGATACCACAGAAGTGAATGTATTACTTATGCTTCTAGGATGAAGACTTCCCAGGGATGAAACTAATGCTGCAGGGAATCATCCGCAATCTCCCTAAAGATGAACTCAACCAACTAAAAAAGGCAGTCAAGCAAAAGAAAACACATAATCTATTTATGGATAAACACATGAACAAGCTCTTCAAAGCTCTGGCTGATATGGATGAAAATCCACGACGTAAGGTGAAAAAACTTAGGAAACGTCGTCAGGCAGGGCGCCCTCTGGATGCCTACACAGGGACCTTCGGTAACTTTGCCTATGGGAATGTGACCATTTCTATATACCCTGATGATCCCGATGATGACTTCACAGGTAATACATATTAGCTGTGGATGGCTTGTACATGAATTAAGATTTTAAGCACTGAACTCAATACTTTGTTGGTAAAACATATCACAAGTGGATTGTTCCTTCCTTACGCCAAAACCAAAGGTTGAGTATTTCATGTTAGGTTAGTGATTGTGCTACATATCAAACAATCCGAAAAAAATAAAAATTTTCACAAGACAGCATTGCAAAATCTTACATTAATGAATGTTGGAATCTATGGTTTATAAATTGTTGGAAATTACATCAAACTTCATAAAGATCTAGACTTCCTTAGTATATTTCTTTGAACTCAATATCCCGAAGACAATCTACAATAGATTACCTACATACCAAGTGTTCATTTACAACAAGTGACATCTATAAAATGAAAGTGTATTATTTTAACACATATGGGAAGGGAAGAGAGTAAACCATGTAAGTATCTTTCCATTTCCAGGTGACCTTATGTTGACATATGGCCAGATAGAGTTGACTCTAGATAGAGATGAAGAAAACCCTGATAAGTTTGACATCAGTATCCTGGGCCTAGTTGAAATATTTGGTGACCAGGTAATCGTTAAAATGAGCTACATTGTATAGTGCGATGGTTATGGCCATGTCTGAATGATTGAACTGAGCCAGTATTATATAAAGTGATGACAGTACTAACAACATATAGACAGTTTGTTTGCCCTTTTAATACCAATATTAAGTTTTGTTTTGAAACCCTTATTATCATTTGTTGATACCAAGTTAGACTCATTTGTGACACTTATATGCAGATAAACTTCAATCATAATTGATGTCTCAATATTTAAATTCTTAATAATCTTAATAATATATCTCATTTCTCAGCAACGGAATTTCATGTGTTTACAGGTTACATTCTGGGGCTCTGGGCCTGATGGAAACATAGACAGGGCAGAGATCCCTCTTGACCCCAGGGATGGGCCATACAGCTATGCTAGGGACCGTATGTTTTCAGATGCTCCGCCACCAAACACAGGAAACTGTCCAAACCCTCCGGTTTGCTTAGAGACATAAGCAGATGATGGTGGGAATGTATTACAGCTGAACAAAAGACACCCTTATACTCATATAGTGCAGCTAATAAATGATAATGTTTATAACTTACCATTTCTAATTTAGGACAGGACTATATATATGTCAAATAAATGTACATTGACTTTTTAAATCAAGAAAATAAATATAATGGCTATTAAGCTCTGGACATTTCTTTGAAAGAATAAAGAATATGTGTTTGGTTTCTTGACTTGTTTCACAATGTGGCACAATAATTTGTTATCATTAATATAATTTATTTTGTTTCTAATTTTCTCCTCCAACAAACGCTGACCTTGAGTACACCTACATACATATCTCGCCAATGAATCAAAGGTATGTCTAAAACAAGGCATTTACATGACAAAATGTCACCACCTAGTTGCTCACAATATTATTAGTTCAACCTTAAGTCAGTTGTCAAATCTTATAAGACCCTTAGAAGGTCAGTGAAGGTCAAATATTTTTTGACCTTGTGAATGTCATTGAAGGTCAAATCTATAGTCAGATTTGAACTTTTGAGAACTTCTAGACGATTTTGAAAAAGAAATTGGTCAATTTGAAGCAAGTTGAAAAAAACAACTTTTTTACCTTTTTTTACCTTGAAAAGGTCGCCGAAGGTCAAATCTTAAATATAAAGTCAGATTTGAACTTCTGAAAACTTGTAGAAGATTTTGGAAAACACCAAAGTCAGTCTAAACAGTATTTGAGCCTGGCCATAGGAAAACCAGTCTTATCACAAAAATTAGCATTAGTGCTACAGAGGCAAAAGTGTGCTAAATTCAAATCAGACTTTTTGGTCTATATATGCAAGGGAAAATGTTAAGACACAAGCCATGGCTCATTATCCCAACGAACGAAGTTCGTTAGGGATATAGTGAAGCCCTCCGTCCGTCCGTCCGTCCGTCCGTCCGTCAGTCTGTCAGTCCGTCAGTCAGTCAGTCAGTCAGTCAGTCAGTCAGTCCGTCCGTCTGTCCGGAAGATAACTCAAATACTAGTTGACAGATTTTTTTCATATTTAGTGGAAAGATGTATATTGGTGAATAGTTTTACGCAAAAAAAATTTTTTTCAAGATGGCCGCCGCTTTAAAAATGACGGGACTTTTTCGCAAAAATCATAAATTTTTCATTCTAAACCAAAGTAATTAATATTATTGTTTGAAATTTTGGTAGTGTATTCACAACATTTATCTATTTCACATATATTCCGTGTTTTTCATCCTGACCCCCAGGGGCCATGTATGGGGGGACAGGAAAACAGAAATTTTCGCTAATTTTTAGATCTTTCTGAAGTATAGCTTTATTATACTCAAATGAAAGGCAATTAAGAGTAGATTGCAAATATTGTATTTTTTTCTGATTGGAGCCTCGTAAAATTCAAAATGGCCGTCTAATGTACGATTTCGCAATAATTTTTCGTTCCCTTCAAAGTATGGCTATATTATACTCAAATTGAAGGAATTTTGGAGTAGATCACAATTATGGTATTATTTTTCAGATTTGTACCTCAGAAAATTCAAAATGGCTGCTTTGCAGGAATTCGCAATTCTAAAATCTAATTTTTTCATTTTCAACCAAAGTAATGAGTATAATTGATTGGAATTCGGTAATTGATATTTTGTTCGTTGGGATTTGCTACTCCGCGGAGTTGCCGTTATTATACTCAAATAAAAGGCAATTAAGAGTAGATTGCAAATATTGTATCTTTTTTCTGATTCGAGCCTCGTAAAATTCAAAATGGCCGTCTAATGTACGATTTCGCAATAATTTTTCGATCCCTTCAAAGTATGGCTATATTAAACTCAAATTGAAGGAATTTTGGAGTAGATCACAATTATGGTATTATTTTTCAGATTTGTATCTCAGAAAATTCAAAATGGCTGCTTTGCAGGAATTCGCAATTTTAAAATCTAATTTTTTCAATTTTAACCAAAGTAATGAGTATAATTGATTGGAATTCGCTAATTGATATTTTGTTCGTTGGGATTTGCTACTCCGCGGAGTTGCTGTTATCTAGTTTGAAAGGTCTCTTTTTGCTTTTTAAGATAAACAAAAAATCGGAATATTGAAAAAATCTGTGATAAGACCCCTTTTCCTGTGGCCTGGCTCATTTATTAAGTTATTGGAAGTTTTAAGAATTTGTTACAGACACCAAGCACCAACCGCCGATCTCCAAATGCCGTCACAAAAAATGGACATCATAACCCCGTTTTGGTGGTAAAATGATAATAAAAAATAATAAAATGTCTGAAATGAGACCAAACCCTTGAAACATGAAAACTCATCACAAATCTGTGTGATCTATAAAATCAGCAAAATTCATAGTGGCCAGCGAAAACTATAACTTACAACTAATTTTCAGAGGGGGTGGCACTTGGCAACCATTTAAAACTGGCAGTCATTTTCGAAATTGGCTTTTGAGCAGAACTTGTACTCACATAGGGCATATGCATATAAATTATATTGGGTCAGCGGAATTCAAATTATTATGGTACGGATGGATGGACAGAGGGATTGCCATACAAACAAGTGGGTAAAAACATTTGAATTGATTGCGAATAATTTCAAATGAGCCATCAATGTGTTGACAGACAGACAGAAGGACATCCACACAGGCGGATGGACAGACAAGTGGGTGATAATAATAACTCACACTATGTGAGCTAAAAACCATAACAACCTACAATTAGCATTATGGATACAGAATATATATTATGTGCGACAAAAATAAATAACTACAGTGAAACCTGTGTAAGTTGAAAATCGTTGGTTCCACTAAAAGTGTTCCACTTGGGATGTGGGTGTTCCACTTTCAGAGGTTTTATTAACCTTAAACCAATGGCTCACTGGACATAAAAGTGTTCCACTTACAAAGGGGTTCCACTTAGTGAGGTATTTCACTTAACAGGTTTTACTGTATCTAACTAACTAAAACTAAATGGTGACATAAAATTATAATGACTGGCATATTTTGTCCAATATTGGTCAGAACTGTATAAAATATTCAATCATGCTCCAAAGAAAGAATTGATAGGTGAAAATATCTACTCAATGATGCTTGGATTCTGAAGCAAATTCCCTTGGTTGTGTGCTTCCTCTTGAATCTTAAAGTAAGTCCATGGTATCATATCTCTTCATATTATTTGACAATGGGCGATGGGGACATCATGTCCTTTCACACCACACAGCCTGCATTCATATAAGCGGATTTTCTGGGTTATGTCCTTCCTTAATTATCTTAAAGGAAAAGTCTACTGTATCATATCCCTGTGTGGTTTTACTGAGAGATATCACATCAACGTAAGGACTAAAATGTTGCTCAATGGTATCCAGCGTGATGCCACCACTGGCCTCTATTAGCAAATTTGGAAATTCTTTTTTCAGTTGTTCCGCTACCTCCTTTAAGGCCTGAAAAAATCATATTTCAAAAATGAGTTGATATGTACGATTATGTGTGGACAATATGGGACTGATATTAATAGACATCACCTTGGCTTTATTGAGATTTATAAAAGCTTTAGAGGTATACTAAGCTGAAAACACATTGTCAATGAAGGCTGTACTTGGAGCATCAATATATGGTATGGTCCAAAACAAGCTCCCCAAAATTGCAACAAATATGCCTTGGTCACATTTGCTCCCATCCATCGGCCGGCGCCCGCCCGATTGAGTGTTTTGCTTAATATTGTATTCAATTTTGAACAAAATACTCAATCGGCCGGGCGCCGTAGAGAAAATCAGAGCAATTGTGACTAGGGCAATAGTCAAACAGAAATCATGTTCATTAAATCTCAATATTAGTAAAAACATTAAGAATATCTAAATATTTGTAATAAAACTACTTGTAACACTGGGCATTCTAAAAAATCTTGTCAAAGTTAACAATGTGCATTTCAAATAAAGAAAAAACACTCAGTTAAATAATGTAAATATTCCTCCTCTTTTAAACATCATAGGAATTTTAACAGGAATTTTCAGGTAGTACAATTTATTCTTTGATATATTTGAAGATGATATTCCACCTAAATAGCAGTGACAGGCTTAATGGCATATTGGAAAATTTAATTATTTTTCTCATTTGTTTTAATCAATTTATCATAACAATTTCCAAGATTTGTGGTCAGGAGACTGGTCAGAAGGTTACTGACCCAATAAAAATATAACATCAAAATTATCAAACTGTCAAATGCTTGGGCAAATGCTTAGAAAAACATATTTTGAAGGCAAAAGACTGCATGTTATATTGCACTTTGGTCTTTTGAATGATTATTTTTTTGGTTTGATTGACCCACGAAAAATAATTTGACAAGAGTTTATATTTATGATTATAGACTACTGTACTCCCGGTTTAATTCAAGTTTAAATTACGCGAATTTTGAGAAAACACGATTTCGCGACTATTAAATCTTGCGAATTTCACTCAGTACACCTAATACTTTGTCATCTTGGTCAACAACACGCTGCACTTTAACCTCTATTACATCGTAATTTTTGGGTTTATTTGATTTAATAGGACACTGTAACAGACATTGTTACTTAGTACCCCATTTATCACCTAAAAACATTTGACAAACATTTTACAAAACACGAAATGCAATATAGTCCCAGGAAACAAGAAACTTCACAAATCCCCGGGATTTAATTGATAATTTCGCGAAGATTAATTTTCACAAATTTACCACAAACTAGCCTTGCCCAAGTCGGTCTCTTTTACTTATCTTGATTTCTATTATGACCGCCGGTAATAATTCAAGATCAGATAAGTAAAAAATACCGACTTGGGCAAGGCTAACCACAAACGTGAAAAGCGTGAAACTAAATTGCATGCGAAAAAGACTGGGAGTACAGTAATTTTATTCAACTTATCTTTTGTGATAAAAGGGGTTTTCATCTTTGCAAAATTACTACAATATATATAACATATATGACAGTTAAATACAGTAAAACCTGTAAAGTAAAACACCTCTACTAGAAGTGGAACACCTCTGTTAGTAGAACACTTCAGAGTTCCAAGACCAACTGACTTAATGCTTAATGAACATTTGTAAGTGGAACACCTCCCTAGTGGTAGTGGAACATCTTTTAAAGGTACCAAAGGTGTTCCCTTAGACAGGTTTTACTGTACACCTCTTTTAGATATATCACTTTTTAGAAGGAGCGACTAACTAACCACTGGAGTGTGATTGTCTAACATGACAATATCAGCACCAGCCTCGGCTGCTTCTTTGGCTTCAGTAAACCCTCTGCATTCGACCTCGATCTTTGTACTGAATCCTCCAACTGATTTGGCATCTTTAACAGCCTAGAAAGAACCAAAATATAGCATTTTACAGATTTACTAGGCTGATAATTATTGGTTCTATTTATGGAGACATTGCACACAAGTATACAAATTGGCATTCTGATACTCATCACATCCTTATGTTTTTACAGAAACTGAAAAAATGAGATATCAAGATTTATCATGATGGACTTAATGATATTGGTCTATAGGACCTCAGCTTTAAAATTGTGAGAATTGCTATCTCACTTTAACTTTTCATCCTAACCACTTAAAAACAGATAAGAAACTGAAACTGATTGCAAGGCTTTATGTTAAGGCACAGCCAGCTACATTTACCATAACCATATTCAGGCAGGTGGAACACCCCAGAATTATAAAATCAAAGAAATAGCAGGTTTAGTAACAATGGAAACCTTAATATGCAGGGGTTTCATTAGCAGAGGCAACAGGTGATTTTCACCGGTTGTTTTCCATTGTGAGAAATTGTAGTGAAACCCCTGATATGGGTGACCATATACATTTACAATGTTATCTGCTATGGAGTGATTGGTTTTGATATACAATACTCAATCTCACTCTCTTATATTGCTGATCACAATCCCATGGTTAACTTATACAGCCTCAATTGAGGAAACTTTTCATGACTAGTGCTGTGTACATGTATATCATAATACCTGTGTTATACTCCCGGCAGTCCATATATGGTTATCTTTGAGCATTATCATCGATGACAAGTCATATCTATGAGTAGATATTCCACCAATAAGAAGTGCATATTTTTCAACAAGTCGAAATCCTGGGGTAGTCTTTCTAGTTCCCGTAATCTCTCCATGCCACTTGCACGCCATCTTTTGGTCATTTAATTGTCTTGCAAATGTTGCTATACCACTAGATCTTGTTATACAGTTTAGTGCAACTCTTTCTCCCAATAATAGATGGCGTACTTTCCCAGATATTTTGGCGACCTTACAAACAGGGCTCAGTGAAGTACCTTCTTTATGAAGCCATTCTATTTCACACCCTAGTTCATGAAATATCGCATCAAAAAATGGCACACCAGCCAGGACTCCTGGGGATTTACAAAGAAGAACAGCCGTTTCTATCTTGTCACCAATTACGAATCCACCATAGTCGAAACTTGGGGTATCTTCTAGAAGCCAGCCACGGACTAGCTCCTGAACTCTAACAGGATGCAGTAATGTGTGCACAGACGAAGTCATGATTATAGCGGCTCAACTTCTCATCAGTTATACACTTTATTCAGCTTCTGAAAAAATGTCAAATGTTGTAAAACTTGAACTGAAAAAACTGAAATAAAAAATGTAAACTTTAGATTTAGATCTAACTTTGTCAAGAAATCATCTAATTTGAAAGTGTAGTACGTGATTTATGCTATATGTTTGTGTTCTTAGTCGAGTTTCGTGATCAATATTCTTCTAAATAATGAGTAATGTTACTTTCTCCATGAGGGCAGTCTTACCAAACTTTTTAACATGTAAATACAGATAAGGGAGCAGCTGGTATTAATAACCCAGAGTGCATTACAACTTGTCAATTAATTTATATTTGATTTCAAAAGGAACTTCCACAAATAAGACAAACGATGAAAGTCTTAAACATAAAGCTTTATCTTTAAATTGAGAGATGATTGATATAAAGTAAACTTTTGACTATCTTTGAAAATTTAATAACACATGCTCTCATGAAGGACTTCCGGTTTTCAGCTTCCTGTAAATTTTAACAAATTTTTAATTCATCACAAATTACCGTTTATTCAGTCGCACTAAGCTCGAGGATACTCTAAAAGGGACTCTATATGTAGATATGTTCATGGGCTACCGTAATCACTTCAGATGTCTGTCTCCTTAGTAGTTGTAAGGCTAGAAATAGCTGCAAAGGCAGAACCAATTCAATCTGAAATAAATTTTACAGGTGAATTTTTTTATTTTATTGTTTACCTTTTTCAAAGAATGATCTGTATTATTCTGCAGTCCTTTGTGTCTTGTATGAGATCCTGAGATGACACCAATAGTGACATAAAGTAAATAATAATGAATAATGAAGTAATAATAAGGAGGTGACAAAGCATTGTTGTCGGTGATATCATCATGAAAAATACAAAGATAGGCCTAAAAAATGACATCATAGGAAAAGAACAATAGATTTTTGGTTTTCTTAACTTTACAAAGTTTCTGCTAGTGAAATTAATTTCTTCATAAAACTGAATTGATTTCAGCTACTGCATTCTACGAGTCCCTGGGGGAAGAGTCGGATACTCATCCTAAAGCAACATACGCAGAAGCTGTTAATAATACACAACATAATTTCCCACAAGACCTCATAGAATGCCATAGAGGGCGCCGGTATATGCATGAAATAACCATAGAAACAATCCCCTTTGAATGTGAGTATTCTTTGTTTTGCTTGGTCTTATAAGTGCATTTATTATTATACTAACTAAAGTCCAGATGTTTCTATCATACTTGTTTTTAATTTCAAGATATATTGGCTTTTCATATTGAAGTACATTGAAAATGAATGTACTGCATTATAGTGTTGTCGCGATGTGCCATAATCGTACATCGATGCATCGGCAATTTTCAGTAGTAAACATCGATGCACATCGCGATGTACATCGAGAAAAAGTCCGAGAAAAGTGCACTGAAATACCGAACGCTAATGCACTAAAATACCGAACATCCGGTACATCCGGGAACTTCTAGAAAGGTGAAATGAAAGTAAAGTAATTTTTTTACGGATTAATGGTTCATTTCGAATAGCTAAAACAGTTTTAAAGCGAAAGAATATCAGTAAACATTGGAAAATGAAATAAGACATGAGAAAGGTAAGCGATTTGCGTCAAAATAAGATAAGAAAGGGTGATTTTTAGCAAATTAATTTTTTTCAAAAACATCGATGTTTTGTTTCAGACATCGATGCATCGCCAGAATCAGCTTTGGCGATGTATATCGCGATGTATCGATTAATCGCTACTGCATTATAGTTGCATTATAGATCAGAATTGACTCGCAAGAAACCTGTGGTCATTATCTGCTTACTTTTTCCTTTACTTGTGTAGTATAGAACATAAAAAGGTAAGTTAGTATAAGGTGTTGGTTTGACACAAAATTATACCATAAAAGAGAAAAATTCCTTTCCATAAGCTCTACATGTGTTGATTTCCTTTTTTCCTTTGTAGTACTGGAGCCAGACTCTGATAACAAAACTACCAACAACAAAATGGCTGACAGATCTGACCTTGAGGGTGAAGCTAGGAACATTTTGGAATCTTTCATAGCTCAAGAGAAGTCAAGGGAAAATACACCCAAGGATAAATCAGTTGAAATAAATAAAGACATGGCTATTGCTAAAGCTGGCCGTGAATTAACCATAATAGATAATGAAGTCCATCTTAAACAGTTAAAACAATATGGGAAATCTCTTGGTAAAATGGTGACTGAGTTTGAGGAACTTGGACTTTTAGAAAATCCTGATGATGATGTCACTGATGGTGCTAAAGAGGCCAGTATTGATGTCTTTGGTGCAGATGATTCAGAGACGAGAGATGAACCCAAAATGTCCTATGCCTCAAAGGTGAAAGGAGAAGCAGGTATGTGTAAGGGTTCACCTTCAGGATTTAAGACCTTTTGGTAACAGGATTTTTTCTCTAGTCAGTTTTGATTGTACCTTGGTATATAAGTCTAGATGTAAGAACAGTCATTTTTAGGCATGATAAGTAAATTTTTATTTACAGGTATGTAATTTATCACTTTTTCCTTTGGTATATCGATTCATTATATATGAATATATTAGTAGACGTTTTGACCATATAAGAGTTTCAGCTTATTTCTTTTTTAATTCACCTTTATATTATCTTACTAAGATTCTGTGTTACTTCAGGGACATCAAGATCTCGAAACACTAGCACGAGTAGTGCAAAGGGCCTACGTCAGTCCCCCATCCCAGCAAGATTCTCACCGATTGATAATCGTAGCTCCCCAGTGACATTCTCAGATGATAATCACCGCCCAGGCAGTGGAGGTACAAGACCTAAGAGCAATAGCCCTTCAGGGTCTGGAGTGATCCATTTTAGATCGGGCAACCCAATGGCCGAAGTCACTGAAGGAATTTTACATCTCTATAAAGACAAGTAAGTCTAACTGTTACATAACAGCTAAAGGTTTCCTATTTTTCCATTTTAATGCCACCACAATTTTCCATTTTAATGCCACCACAATTTTCCATTTTAATGCCACCACAAAAAGTGATAACATATTGTGGCCAGTTTTTGGCATTTTCATCCAACACTTGGGCCTTTAACTGAAGTAATGACAACTTGTCAATGCTTTATATACAACTACATGTAATATAAATATGTAAACCTATTGAATTATCATCTAGGATTTCTCTCTTCATTCTTCCTATTTCATGGTTAGTTCACTGAAATCCACCATGTATATATTGTAAATTCTTATGATTAAAAGCAGCCTTTTAGTCTGTATTCCTATTTCTAAAAGAAATAGTTGATATGATTATTACATGAATTAAAGTGATTAGATAAAGGTCCTCGTCCTTTGAAAAGTCCTCTCTAAGTAGATAGTTGATAAACTGAGATTTTATGTGATTTTCAATGAAAAAATGAATTCCTATTAAAACTTATTTATTTGTCTTATAAACATTTTCATTACTTTCATTTCAGTCATGTGACTTCCCTAAATGAGGATTTCCCACGTAGTGAGATGATTTGCATATTGGCCGTTCCCGCTTCAATGTCAGTACAGGATTTACTGGACTTCACAGCTGGTGTAGGGTAGGATATGGCTTTATATATGAGTTCACATGAGATCTATTGGCAAGCCATACTTTTATGATTTCTGATATGACCTGCATTCTGATTAAAAATCTGTTAAAAATGTTGATTCTATTTTATTTGTATGTTTGATTGGATTTGCAGTCCAGGTATTGACACATGAAAAATATAGGATATACCACACATTATTGATGTACCAGGTATTATATCTAATTTACATGCATTGTACTCGTTTGCATTTCCAGTCCAGAACATATGAAGGTACGAGACACCACGCATCGCATAGGTACGAGACACCACAAATCATATTGTCTGATTCACATTTACATGTTTGTTTGTATTTTCAGTCCTGGGATAGAGCATATGAAGATTATACGCGACAACACACCAAGTCAATACCTAGTCTTAGTAAAGTTTAGAAGCCAGGTAACTATAGTAACCCATACAAAGTTAAGTCATTTATGTTTGCAATTACATTTATTCAATTCTTCAATGGCATGTGGTGACATTTTGCAAGTTAATGCCTTGTTGAACCATATTTCCTGTTCAGGACCATAGAAAATCTGCCAAGAGCCGACTTATCTTTAATATTCTTTTTTGGCTTTGGAAAAGTCAGCAATATTAATTAATCTGATGCAAGGACTAATATATAAATTATATCAAGATATTACATTCTATATCAATTGTTATATAATATGAAAAGCAACACACTTAAACACAAAGTGAATAAAAACAATAAGTTTAGTATGCATTGAAGGTAAATATTGAATGTACAGAATGAGATGATTGCATAACAAACTTCAAATTAATACAGTATGAATCAGTTTGTCAAAATGAATTGAATTTTATTATTTTATATCTATTTTTTATTTTCAGAAATTATCAGATGAATTCTACAATACTTATAATAATGTGCCATTTAACTCAATCCTTCCTGAAATCTGCCATCTTGTATATGTAGCTAAGGTAGAGACTGTCAAGGATACAGAGGTATTTATCATTTAATTCTATTTTTGATAATTTACTTTACTTCTGTGTTACTCTATAATTAGGCTAGCGACAATGTAAAAAAACAAATGGTCGTAACTCTGCTCCTTCTGAACCATTCTTTCATTAAATTTAAAAAGAGCATATTGTTTAAGATACATAAGGTTTGTTTGTCCTCATAGGTTTATTACACCTTTTGTCTGGCATGCTATTAACTGCTATAACTTTTGGCCTCTTATCTTACAATACACTATATATGTAAGTTTTAAATACATGAACAATAAAATCTGTCATCAATGGACCAAATGAAAATGTTCAGATAGGCAGATGTTCACATTTCGTGAAATTATTTTACAATGATTGTTTGTTTGTTTTCCAGGGTGCTTGTCTGCCAGTTGTTGGGCTCACAGAATTACCAGTATGTACAGTGTGTTTGGAGAGAATGGTAAGCACTAATAATATGATGAAACATTCTTAACCTCTTGACTACCTGGAGTGACGAGATAACTCATCACCTCAGAAATGACCTTAAAACCCAGAGTGACGAGAAAATCCGTCACAAAATATTTCACTAAATTGCTCTTATTTGAACAATTTTCATCCAATTTACACAAAACTTGTTTTAAAATTTGTAGAAATGATCCCCGCTGGGATTCAAGAGGTTAAAGATCTTCAGCATGGTAAATCATATGGTAGCCATTTTGGATTTTCCCTCCAAAAATAACTAAGCAATAAAGAGTAGCATGTTATACAAGATATGTTGATAGAAGTGGTTTGTTAAGAAATATATTGCAGATGGTTTACCTATTAGAACTATCTCTGCAATGGTAGATGTAGAAATGTGACAAAAACAAAAATACAATTTGTTTTTTTGGATCTCATATTGTATAAAAGCATCTCAACTTTGTGATAAATAATTATTTTACTTTATAATTTATGAGGTTTTGAATTGTTCTTGTTTTTCTAATGTTGCTCTTTGTACCTTTTTAGGACGAGTCTGTGGAAGGGGTGCTAACAATTCTATGTAACCATAGTTTCCATGGCTCCTGTCTCAAACAATGGGGAGATACAAGGTAGGTTGTCATATATCATATTGTCAATATCTAACAATTCTGCGTAACTGCAGTTACCAAGACTTCGTCTCAAACAATCAGGAGATACAAGGTAGGTTGTCATAGCAATATGTTATAATAACAACTCTATGTAATCACAGTTTCCATGGCTCCTGTCTCAAACAATGGGGAGATACAAGGTGGGTTGTCATAGCAATATGTTACAATAACAACTCTATGTAATCACAGTTTCCATGGCTCCTGTCTCAAACAATGGGGAGATATAAGGTGGGTTGTCATAGCAATAACTGATACTTGATTTACTTTTCTTTCTCTAAACTGTATCATGTACTATATGAAATCTCCTATATTGAATTTGGCTACAACATGATATGGTGATCTGCTAACCTACGTATATTGAGGGACTGTAAAGTTAACCCGTAACCTCTTAAAATAAAGAGACTTGACTGTGATCATCTTCAGATGTTTGATTGCACATCTTCATCATATTGTAAGAAAAGCGTGACATAAAAATACAACCTCTAACGTTCGAATGAGACTCAAGTATGATAAACACTCTATCAATATTCCAAAACGAGGCCGGCATTTTTGTATCACCCTATATTTATATCACTCTGTATTTGTATCACCCTATATTTATATCACTCTGTATTTGTATCACCCTATATTTGTCTCACTCTGTATTTGAATCTGTATTTGAATCACCCTGTATTTTGGGTCTGAAAGTGCCTCCCTAAATTGGTCCATCAATTGGTTTATTGTTTTCATTCATGCAGCAAAGATGATCGGGTCTCATAGTAAGTCCTGGCTATACTTTTCTGTATCCCATATTGTATATGCTACGTGTTCCCTATTCATTTTATTTATCATGTGTATCATTGTGTATATATATAAATATAATAAATACAGTCCTGTTTGCTATTTTATGCTATTTAGATGTGACATTGGTACAGCTACTTTTTATTAGCATTCAGCTGCGTTTATTTAATTTCTTAATATATATTTAAATATTAACAAGGGGAGTAAGTCACCGAGCCCCTTCCTCCTTTATGTGTACCTATATACTAACACATATTAGTACATTAGTACATAAACACATATTAGTACATTTATATAGATGACTAGCTCTCCATGTACAGTAAATCTGTCTAAGTGGAACACATTTGGTACCTGTAAAAAGTGTTCCAATTGGGAGGTGTTTCACTTATAGAGGTTCATTTAACAATAAGTCAATTAGTCCTGGGAATCTGAAAAGTGCTTCACTTACAGAGGTGTTCCACTTTACAGGTTTTACTGTATATAGAATTGACCACACTAATGGTTATGTTATGAAAATGATTCATGTAAATTGTTATGATATGGCTCTGTTGGCAGTTGTTGATGGTATGTATTGTATAAGTGAATGTATAATTTTCATATATTGTATATTTAACTTGATTATTGTGGCTTTTTGCTTAATACAGTTGCTTTTTCGTATTTTCAAAATTGAAGCATTTTGTCAAACTTGGCTTTGATACCTTAACCATGTTATCTGACCCTGAATGAATGTTTCCTTCAATTCAGTGATTCAAACACATTCATTGATTTCATTTAAATACATTCAAAGTATTTGAATTGTTCTAAATGAGGCTAAAAGTAATGATAACTCTTTAATAGGACCAATAAATTATACAGTTTTGTATTGTATGTTTTTGAAAAATTTCTTTCTTATAAGGGGTCTTTGAATTTCAGTTGCCCAGTATGTAGATATGTGCAGACCCCTGAGGTGGCAGCAGATAACAAATGTTTTCAGTGCAGTTCACAAGAGGTTAGGCATGAAAAAGTTTATTTACTAATTGTTTTTAATAGAAATCTCTATACATTGTATAGTTTATGCATAAAACTGGTTTTAAATATGTTTTAGTATAAGTGTCAATATGTAAATGTTTAAATGGACACACACAATATTGTTGTACCACTATTACAAAAACGTAGATTTCAAATCAAAAAAAGAAAAATACTTGTATTTAGAACCAGGTCAATATTTTGATAACAATTTCCAAAATCAATGTACCCAATCAAATTTTCGATCACAGCACACTAGTTCTCTACAGCATTGATATTTCTCCTTGCAGAGTCTTTGGATATGTTTAATATGTGGCTATGTTGGCTGTGGGAGATATGTAGGAGGACATGCATACAGGTATGTGACATGAGTCGTTTCAATATATTAACTTCACTGGTGATCCACTCGATTACGCTGGTTACCGAAACGGTTCGTTTTGGTAACAAAATGTCGGAACGTCGAAGGTACGATTTTTCTCTTTTCCTTATTTCATATGTTGTAGGCAGAATTCCCACGACATTTTTTAACACAGACGTGTATCAGTATCATATGTTTAAGAAAATGTACATATGTGCGAACAAATAGTTCAGAAGACAACAGAATCGTCGATTTAATTCTTCACTTAAGTTACATAAACGGTTTTTCGAAAAACAGTTAAGATCTGCACTTTTAACCAAAACCGTTTATGTAACTTAAGTGATGAATTAAATCGACGATTTTGTTGTCTTCTAAGCTATTTTTTCGCAAACATGAACATTTTCTAAAACATATGATGCTGATATACGTTTGTGAGAAAAAGCGTCGTGGGGATTCTGCCTACAACGCGTGAAATATGGAAAAAAGAAAAATCGTACCTTCGACGTTCCGACATTTTGTTACCAAAACGAACCGTTTTGGTAACCAGCGTAATCGAGTGGATCACCAGTGAACTTGATGTTTCATCAAAATATTGATGTAATACCATAATCGTTGTAGCTTCCAGTCACCCATTATAGGCACTAATGCTACCTTTTGTGGTTATTCAACATTTGTTATTTTATTTTGACATGGTCTATGATTTACAATTGACCCAACCATTGAATTCTGTAGATGTGCATCTATTAAAGTCAGTAAGTATAATTATTAATTAAGAAATTCCAGTCATTTCAAAGATAATTTCACCATATTTCCAGTATATTTCCCCCTATTCCAACATATTTCCCCATATTCCCTGTATATTATCCCATTTTTCCAGTATATTTGACCATATTTCCAGTATATAATCCCATATTTCTACCATATTTCCCCAAAGTTCCAGTGTATTTTCCCATGTATTCAACATATTTCCACTATAAAACCACCTTAACATTAATTTTTCCAGTCATTTCCAAGAAACAGAACACACATTCTCCATGCAGCTAGGGAACAACCGAGTTTGGGACTATGCAGGGGACAATTACGTTCATAGACTGGTGCAAAATAAAGGTGATGGGAAACTCGTCCAAGTTGACGAGAGAGGGAATGTCGTTGATAATGATGAAAAGATTGATTCTTTGACGTTAGAAGTAAGTTGCTTTGTTAGTCACCACCACTGTCACCACTACAAGTAGTGACATATTGTTATAGTCTCCAACTTTTTTTGTAGACACTGTTCGGCATTTGGTAGTCGACGTTTGGTGTCTGTAACAAATGGCAGGTGGTGACATTTTGTTGGATTTTGTAATGTGTATCAAGATATTCTTCAATAAAGAAATAGTTTACATGATTCTATTTGACAAATTTTCTTTTGTTTGGCCCATTTATCAGTAATTGAACAACAATTCCAATATATTCTTTCCCAAAGTTTATTTTCCAATTTGTCCAGTAGATGTATATATGATGCATTTTCACTTACTTCTGGTAAACTTCCCATGTAAACTTTATATTTGGTTATTTCCAGTATTTTGTCCCATATTTCAAGCCTTTTTCCCATATTTCCACCATATTTTGGCTTTCTAGACATTTCACCCCCTGGACGTTTCACCCCTAGACTGTTCACCCCTTAGACGTTTCACCCCCTGGACATTTCACCCCTTAGACATTTCATCCCCTGGACATTTCTCCCCCTGGACGTTTCACCCCTAGACATTTCATCCCTTAGACATTTCACCCCCTGGACACTTTACCCCCTAGATGTTTCACCCCTAGACATTTCACCCCTAGACATTTCACCCCTTAGACATTTCACCCCCTAAACATTTCATCCCTTAGACGTTTCACCCCTTAGAAATTTCACCCCTTAGACGTTTCACCCCCTAGACATTTTAGCCTCAATTTTTTACTCCTACATATTTCATTCAAGTATTTCTCTTTATTAGAACTGAATACCCTTGGTATAAATGGTATATATTATGGTACATATTACCTATTGACAGTAACTTAAGTCAGTAACTTAAGTGAGTTTAAGTTAGATGATTTTATGTCATAGGGTTTAGCGTGGGCTTAATTAATTAAAATCAGAATTTAATTACCAAGTGTTCCTAGTAGCATAATCAAATAACAAGTACTCTAAGTTAGAATTAACGCAGAGGCGACTAGGCAGTTACCAGTTTCACCACCAGGTGGCTCGTTCAGGTCAGATAACATGGCGGGTATAGTAGAAAGTTCCCTTTAACTTAAATTACATCTGTTTAATTTTCATATAACCTTTATACATCTAATAGTTATGCAAATTAAAATATATACAATAAAAGAAAATGATATTTCACTTTTGTGATTTTGTAACATGGGGTTTCTGGGGAATCAACCCGAACTGGAAATCACATTTTCAAACAAATTAAATTTTCAAAGTTGAAAAGCAATTTTAATCCAAATTTCTAGATGTACAGGGTGATCCAGAAGTAACGTCAAAGACATTGTAATTTCAAAAGTATTCATCAGATCTTCATGAAATTTGGTATACATGTACCCACAACATTTCTGAGTTACCATCTCAAAGATTGGAATTCAATCATTTCATTGGTTGAAATTATGGTTGCTATAGTAACCCGATATCGCGTAACCCGGGGCAAATTGAAGAGAAACCATAACGTTTTTGTGAATTTCTCTAATTTAAAAAGTCAGTAACATTTGAAAATGTTCATTGTTTGTTTTCTATGATTTTTATATTTGTTGCCATGGTAACAAATATGTAATAGTTGTGATGTCACAATAGGCATTCATAAAAAGCTTTCAATTTCTTTGAATTGCTTCCATCATCCATGACAAATACTAACATGACCAAGGACACTAACCCACCCAATTCAAGATGGCGCCAAGTCAGAGTAAAATAGAGCAAAGAACAAACATTAAGTTCTGTGTAAAGTTGGGGAAAGGTGTAAAAGAGACTATAAGACAGATAAAGAAGGCATATGGTAAAGCTGCCATTGCTGAGAGAAACATTTACAGGTGGTTTAACAAGTATTCCAGTGGATATGATGAAGTGGTAGACAAGCAGCGAGGAGGCAGGCCAGTGTCATCATTCGATGATCAAACCATCAAAGCAATTGAAGCTGATGTTATGGACAATAGGCAAATTTCTATCAGAGAATTGGCTGAAAAACACGATCTGAGCTATGGGACTGTGCAACGGATACTGACAAAGAACTGTCTGTTAAAGAAGGTGTCTGCTAAATGGGTGCCGCATGACTTGACACAGGAGCAGAAAGACTGGCGTGTTAAGGCTTCAAGGGACTTTCTTGCAAAATATCGGAGAGATGGAGATGACTTTCTTAACAAGATCATTACAAGTGATGAATCATTGCTATCATTCTACATCCCAGAGACCACGCAACAAAGTTCATCGTGGAAACATGACAACTCCCAACACCAACCAAGCCTAAAATAGTACCAGGAATTCCACAAAAGAAACAAATGGTTGTGACATTCTTTGACATTAGAGGAATGGTGTTAACCCATTTTGTTCCCATTGGCCAGAGAATTAATGCCGTTTACATTGCAAAGGTAAGATATCATTTGTTCTAATAATACATCATACTGTGAATTTTATTTTTAAATTAAAGTATTTAAATGTTGTTCACTGTCAATATAATTATAACTCCATGGCCATGATTCAAATCCAAATCCAATCAATGAAACAACTGGTTTAACAACCATTAAACATTTGTTTTTCAGGTTCTGAAGCGTGATCTTCAACGTTCCCTGAGGAAAAAGCGTCCCGGACATCTGCAGCAGTTTATCTTGCATTGGGACAATGCCCCTACGCACACTGCAATCCTGACCAGCAACACAGTCCAAACACTTGGATTTCAACAACTTGAACATGCCCCTTATTCACCTGATCTTGCCCCCAGTGACTTTTATTTGTATGGGGAACTAAAAAGAAACCTTAGTGGAAATAATTTTCAATCCTGTGAGGAATTGAAAAATGCCATAGTACTAGCCCTACAAGGAATGAGTTCTAATGGATTTAATTCTGTGTTCAAGGAATGGGTATCCAGACATGAGAAATGTGTTGCAAATGGTGGCAATTATGTAGAATGAACTATTATTAGTAACTGTGCAATAGTATGATTTATATTGTTGTGAAATAAAATGTTGAGGATATAACAATTTCAGATCTTGTTGATATTTTGAGATTACGCATTACACGTTAAGTAATTTGCCCCGGGTTACGCGATATCGGGTTACTATAGCAACCATAATTTCAACCAATGAAATGATTGAATTCCAATCTTTGAGATGGTAACTCAGAAATGTTGTGGGTACATGTATACCAAATTTCATGAAGATCTGATGAATACTTTTGAAATTACAACATCTTTGACGTTACTTCTGGATCACCCTGTACTTTTACATGTAGATTTCAAATATGACATCGGAATATTTAATGGCGTAAATCAAGATTATTTCTACTCGCATCTAGTCTATTCACTTGTTTTTTCAAATTCAGTTTTCAGGGTTTTGAAGTGAGGTCCAGTCAGGAAATCTCCAATCGAAAATCTTATACAATTCTTATTAATTTCACATCTAATTAATCTAATTGTTTCCCATTAAACAAATGCTTTTGTATCATTATAAATACTTTTGTGCACACATGAAAAACATGTTACCTCATGTACCTACAAGAAGAAAAAACAATTGGATTAATTTTCTAAATCTAAAAAATAATAATGAATCGGTTTGTTGCTTTTTAATAATGCAATTGATCACAAGGGAAGGGATTATTTAGGCAATTAAGAGACTAGCATCTTTAATCAGTGCAAAGTGCAAACTCTTTTTAAACTTATTTGTACCAATATTGTTGTGGTTTTATACACCATGACCTTTTCCAGTCAGTGTTACTTGGAAAAGAAATAAGTATACATGTACTCATGTAAAGGACGATTCTCGGTTTGGAGAACGAAGTTCATCAATCTAAATTAGCATTATCCCTACTTCGGACAAATTAGATTTTTTTTACATAATATAGATCTGAATGTCTTCTTTTGAATAGTCATAATCTAATTTGGGTTATATTTCTAGATTATTCGCAAAAAAATATTAGCTCAGTACACTGATGAACTTCTTTCCCCAAATCGAGACTTGTATTTTATTGTATCGGTCTAATTGAGCGTTATCCCTGCTTCAGACCAATTTGTTATTTTTACATCTTGTAGATTTAAATGTCCTCTTTTGAATATTCATAGTTTAATTTGGGTAATATTTCTATATTGTTCATGAAAAAAATTATTAGCCCAGGAGACTGTTCTCCAAACCGAGAATCGTCATTCAGTCAAAGTTCACTATTAACCCAACCCATCACATTATACAATACACAGACTGTATATGAAATGTCTAGGGGGTGAAATGTCTAAGGGGTGAAACGTCTAGGGGTGAAACGTCTAAGGGATGAAAAGTCTAGGGGTGAAATGTCTAGGGGGTGAAACATCCAGGGGGTGAAACGTCCAGGGGGTGAAACGTCTAGGGGTGAACCGTCTAGGGGTGAAATGTCCAGGGGGTGAAATGTCTAAGGGGTGAACAGTCTAGGGGTGAAACGTCCAGGGGCTGAAACATCTTGATACCATATTTTGTCATATTTCCATTGTATTTCTCTATATTTCCAGTATACGTATCTACTCACAAGAGAGCTGGAATCTCAGAGGAGGTATTTTGAAGAAAAGCTTGCAGTTGTGGAGTCAAAGGCACAAGAACAGGTTAGGTTTTGAAAGTTATATTAACTAGTATATAATTAAGCTATTTTGAAGAGAAGCTTGCAGTTGTGGAGTCAAAGGCACAGGAACAGGTGAGGTTTTAAAAGTTATATTAACCAGTATATAATTAAGCTATTTTGAAGAGAAGCTTGCAGTTGTGGAGTCAAAGGCACAGGAACAGGTGATGTTTTCAATGTTATATTAACCAGTATGTAATTAAGCTATTTTGAAGAGAAGCTTGCAGTTGTGGAGTCAAAGGCACAAGAACAGGTTAGGTTTTGAAAGTTATATTAACCAGTATATAATTAAGATATTTTGAAGAGAAGCTTGCAATTGTGGAGTCAAAGGCACAAGAACAGGTTAGGTTTTGAAAGTTATATTAACCAGTATGTAATTAAGCTATTTTGAAGAGAAGCTTGCAATTGTGGAGTCAAAGGCACAAGAACAGGTGATGTTTTCAATGTTGTATTAACCAGTATATAATTAAGATATTTTGAAGAGAAGCTTGCAGTTGTGGAGTCAAAGGCACAAGAACAGGTGATGTTTTGAATGTTATATTAACCAGTATGTAATTAAGATATTTTGAAGAGAAGCTTGCAGTTGTGGAGTCAAAGGCACAAGAACAGGTTAGGTTTTCAATGTTATATTAACTAGTATATAATTAAGATATTTTGAAGAGAAGCTTGCAGTTGTGGAGTCAAAGGCACAAGAACAGGTGATGTTTTGAATGTTATATTAACCAGTATGTAATTAAGATATTTTGAAGAGAAGCTTGCAGTTGTGGAGTCAAAGGCACAAGAACAGGTTAGGTTTTCAATGTTATATTAACTAGTATATAATTAAGATATTTTGAAGAGAAGCTTGCAGTTGTGGAGTCAAAGGCACAAGAACAGGTTAGGTTTTCAATGTTATATTAACTAGTATATAATTAAGATATTTTGAAGAGAAGCTTGCAGTTGTGGAGTCAAAGGCACAGGAACAGGTGATGTTTTGAATGTTGTATTAACCAGTATGTAATTAAGCTATTTTGAAGAAAAGCTTGCAGTTGTGGAGTCAAAGGCACAGGAACAGGTGAGGTTTTCAATGTTATATTAACCAGTATGTAATTAAGCTATTTTGAAGAAAAGCTTGCAGTTGTGGAGTCAAAGGCACAAGAACAGGTGATGTTTTGAATGTTATATTAACCAGTATGTAATTAAGATATTTTGAAGAGAAGCTTGCAGTTGTGGAGTCAAAGGCACAAGAACAGGTTAGGTTTTCAATGTTGTATTAACCAGTATATAATTAAGATATTTTGAAGAGAAGCTTGCAGTTGTGGAGTCAAAGGCACAAGAACAGGTTAGGTTTTCAATGTTGTATTAACCAGTATATAATTAAGATATTTTGAAGAGAAGCTTGCAGTTGTGGAGTCAAAGGCACAAGAACATGTTAGGTTTTCAATGTTATATTAACCAGTATGTAATTAAGATATTTTGAAGAAAAGCTTGCAGTTGTGGAGTCAAAGGCACAAGAACAGGTGATGTTTTCAATGTTGTATTAACCAGTATATAATTAAGATATTTTGAAGAGAAGCTTGCAGTTGTGGAGTCAAAGGCACAGGAACAGGTTAGATTTTGAAAGTTATATTAACCAGTATATAATTAAGATATTTTGAAGAGAAGCTTGCAGTTGTGGAGTCAAAGGCACAGGAACAGGTTAGATTTTGAAAGTTATATTAACCAGTATATAACTAAGATATTTTGAAGAGAAGCTTGCAGTTGTGGAGTCAAAGGCACAGGAACAGGTTAGATTTTGAAAGTTATATTAACCAGTATATAATTAAGATATTTTGAAGAGAAGCTTGCAGTTGTGGAGTCAAAGGCACAGGAACAGGTGAGGTTTTCAATGTTATATTAACCAGTATGTAATTAAGCTATTTTGAAGAGAAGCTTACAGTTGTGGAGTCAAAGGCACAGGAACAGGTGATGTTTTCAATGTTGTATTAACCAGTATGTAATTAAGATATTTTGAAGAGAAGCTTGCAGTTGTGGAGTCAAAGGCACAGGAACAGGTTAGGTTTTGAAAGTTGTATTAACCAGTATATAATTAAGATATTTTGAAGAGAAGCTTGCAGTTGTGGAGTCAAAGGCACAGGAACAGGTGAGGTTTTCAATGTTATATTAACCAGTATGTAATTAAGCTATTTTGAAGAGAAGCTTACAGTTGTGGAGTCAAAGGCACAGGAACAGGTGATGTTTTCAATGTTGTATTAACCAGTATGTAATTAAGATATTTTGAAGAGAAGCTTGCAGTTGTGGAGTCAAAGGCACAGGAACAGGTTAGGTTTTCAATGTTATATTAACCAGTATATAATTAAGCTATTTTGAAGAGAAGCTTGCAATTGTGGAGTCAAAGGCACAGGAACAGGTTAGGTTTTCAATGTTATATTAACCAGTATGTAATTAAGATATTTTGAAGAGAAGCTTGCAGTTGTGGAGTCAAAGGCACAAGAACAGGTGAGGTTTTCAATGTTATATTAACCAGTATATAATTAAGATATTTTGAAGAGAAGCTTGCAGTTGTGGAGTCAAAGGCACAAGAACAGGTGATGTTTTGAATGTTATATTAACCAGTATGTAATTAAGATATTTTGAAGAGAAGCTTGCAATTGTGGAGTCAAAGGCACAAGAACAGGTTAGGTTTTGAAAGTTATATTAACCAGTATATAATTAAGATATTTTGAAGAGAAGCTTGCAGTTGTGGAGTCAAAGGCACAGGAACAGGTTAGGTTTTCAATGTTGTATTAACCAGTATATAATTAAGATATTTTGAAGAAAAGCTTGCAGTTGTGGAGTCAAAGGCACAGGAACAGGTTAGGTTTTGAAAGTTGTATTAACCAGTATATAATTAAGATATTTTGAAGAGAAGCTTGCAGTTGTGGAGTCAAAGGCACAAGAACAGGTTAGGTTTTGAAAGTTGTATTAACCAGTATGTAATTAAGATATTTTGAAGAGAAGCTTGCAGTTGTGGAGTCAAAGGCACAGGAACAGGTTAGGTTTTCAATGTTATATTAACCAGTATATAATTAAGATATTTTGAAGAAAAGCTTGCAGTTGTGGAGTCAAAGGCACAGGAACATGTTAGGTTTTCAATGTTGTATTAACCAGTATATAATTAAGATATTTTGAAGAGAAGCTTGCAGTTGTGGAGTCAAAGGCACAGGAACATGTTAGGTTTTCAATGTTGTATTAACCAGTATATAATTAAGATATTTTGAAGAGAAGCTTGCAGTTGTGGAGTCAAAGGCACAAGAACAGGTGAGGTTTTGAATGTTATATTAACCAGTATATAATTAAGATATTTTGAAGAAAAGCTTGCAGTTGTGGAGTCAAAGGCACAGGAACAGGTTAGGTTTTCAATGTTATATTAACTAAGTATATAATTAAGATGTTTTGAAGAAAAGCTTGCAGTTGTGGAGTCAAAGGCACAAGAACAGTTGAGGTTTTCAATGTTATATTAACTAAGTATATAATTAAGATGTTTTGAAGAAAAGCTTGCAGTTGTGGAGTCAAAGGCACAAGAACAGGTGAGGTTTTGAAAGTTATATTAACTAGTATATAATTAAGCTATTTTGAAGAGAAGCTTGCAGTTGTGGAGTCAAAGGCACAGGACGGGTTAGGTTTTGAAAGTTGTATTAACCAGTATATAATTAAGCTATTTTGAAGAGAAGCTTGCAGTTGTGGAGTCAAAGGCACAAGAACAGGTTAGGTTTTGAAAGTTGTATTAACCAGTATGTAATTAAGCTATTTTGAAGAGAAGCTTGCAGTTGTGGAGTCAAAGGCACAAGAACAGGTTAGGTTTTGAAAGTTATATTAACTAGTATATAATTAAGCTATTTTGAAGAGAAGCTTGCAGTTGTGGAGTCAAAGGCACAGGACGGGTTAGGTTTTGAAAGTTGTATTAACCAGTATATAATTAAGCTATTTTGAAGAGAAGCTTGCAGTTGTGGAGTCAAAGGCACAGGAACAGGTGAGGTTTTCAATGTTATATTAACCAGTATGTAATTAAGCTATTTTGAAGAAAAGCTTGCAGTTGTGGAGTCAAAGGCACAGGAACAGGTTAGGTTTTCAATGTTATATTAACCAGTATATAATTAAGATGTTTTGAAGAGAAGCTTGCAATTGTGGAGTCAAAGGCACAGGAACAGGTGATGTTTTCAATGTTGTATTAACCAGTATATAATTAAGATATTTTGAAGAGAAGCTTGCAGTTGTGGAGTCAAAGGCACAGGAACAGGTGATGTTTTCAATGTTATATTAACCAGTATGTAATTAAGCTATTTTGAAGAAAAGCTTGCAGTTGTGGAGTCAAAGGCACAAGAACAGGTGATGTTTTCAATGTTATATTAACCAGTATGTAATTAAGCTATTTTGAAGAAAAGCTTGCAGTTGTGGAGTCAAAGGCACAAGAACAGGTGATGTTTTCAATGTTGTATTAACCAGTATATAATTAAGATATTTTGAAGAGAAGCTTGCAGTTGTGGAGTCAAAGGCACAGGAACAGGTGAGGTTTTCAATGTTATATTAACCAGTATGTAATTAAGCTATTTTGAAGAGAAGCTTGCAGTTGTGGAGTCAAAGGCACAGGACGGGTTAGGTTTTGAAAGTTGTATTAACCAGTATGTAATTAAGCTATTTTGAAGAGAAGCTTGCAGTTGTGGAGTCAAAGGCACAAGAACAGGTTAGGTTTTGAAAGTTATATTAACTAGTATATAATTAAGCTATTTTGAAGAGAAGCTTGCAGTTGTGGAGTCAAAGGCACAGGAACAGGTTAGGTTTTCAATGTTATATTAACCAGTATGTAATTAAGCTATTTTGAAGAGAAGCTTGCAGTTGTGGAGTCAAAGGCACAGGAACAGGTGAGGTTTTCAATGTTATATTAACCAGTATGTAATTAAGCTATTTTGAAGAGAAGCTTGCAGTTGTGGAGTCAAAGGCACAGGACGGGTTAGGTTTTGAAAGTTG